ACCACTAAATCTCCAAAGTGAGAGGTGTGAGAAACAGTAAAGCAGTATCTCCAGGAGCTGAACCAACACAACAGAATAAAGTCAAAGCCAAAAAACAAATTAGGAATGAAATGTTAACGAAATAACATGTATAATAATGTATGTGGCTAGTTTCTACCCACGTCTAACTCTCGTCAACACATACAGGAAAAAATATCACTCAAGATCATAGAGCTAAGAGCTAAGAGCTAACAGAGGCCTCCTCAGCTCAGTCTGGACAAAGGCTGCTTCTGTGTGAGCTCACACAGTTCACACATCTTACATCTCTCTTTACAGGTGCAAACATTTCTCTACCCATTTCTGCAAGAGTGACTTAAAATCACAAAGTAAGCAGCTTAAGAAAGCCATAAACAGCTCTTTACCTTTAACAGATTAACATCTTTTTTCTGTAATAACAATGTGGACTGCTGAATTCTTCTTCTTCTTCTGTGTTAATGGCAGTGGTCAGGCGAATGTAAGGTGCAATACTGCCACCTACTGAACTGTAGAGCGAGACTTCAGAAACGCATGATTACCCAGTTCAATCCATTTTTCAAACAAACAAACAAACAAGCAGTGAACCTGAAAAATCTGTTTGTGCACCCTGTCCATCCATGACCCTGGCCTGCAAGTAAGCTCTACAGTGAGAAGTCCTTGTGACCCTGTGACTTCTGTGAATCTGCCAAAATTTTTCTTTGAGCTGAGTACATCTCACAGTGAAGCAGAACATGTTTAACCATTTCTCTATTTTTTCTCTAATACTATTTTGACAGTATTGATAAATCCCTTTTTCATGTTTCTTTATTAAGTGCAGTGAGGAATTTAACATAGTATGCCCTATTCGAAGCAGTATAATAACAATTTCTTGCTTCCAATCATATTTTCTGGTTACAGCTAAGCCAATCCATTGTTGATTTTTGTATAGATGTCTACTCCTGTGTTAATGTTCCCAGTTATGCCACAATGTTTGCAAATATCTTTTAATTAAAACTTTTGCCTCCACCTTACTTAATGTAAGTGCTAAATTCGCATCTTTGTTGTTTAAGGATTTGTTTTGCATTCTTGTCCAAAATTTAATTCCCTCTCACTTCCCACATGTGCTGGTACCTATAGAAGGTACAGATATGCAATCTTTTTGAAGCCTGTAAAGGACTTGGTATATTTCCAGAACAAGATCTGACCCACAATGGGATTGACTAGATTGGATACTTTTAAGCACATCCAAAGAGTTCAAGCATATTACTATCTTCAGTGGGTAGTCCTCTTCAGGTACATTCCTGAATTCCAGGTATCATTCAAAGTGAGATTATTAGATGATTTGGTTGTGTTCAACCAAATCATCTAATAATCTCACTTTGAATGATACCTGGAATTCAGGAATGTACACTGCTGCTGCTGTAATTCCTATTGTTGGATGTCTTGGGCCATGGGTATAGGTTTGTAGTACGCCATAGTAATGCTCGGTCAAGTTAGTCCATCTGTATTCGAAGACAGCTTCTCATTTATCTCAAATTCAACACTTGACAGTGGAAAGAACCAAGGCAGAGTCATAGTTCTAGGTACTATATTGTTATAAACAAGCTTCTGTTATACCATTTGATCTGCCTTGATGTCGGCCTCACATCCGAACCACAAAAGGCATCACTGCAAGTATACTGTATGCCTACCATGGTGTATTTTTCATTATGCCCTTTCACACAGTTTACTGCAGACAATGCCAGTTTACGTAGATGCAGAAGCATTTCTCCTGTCTCTACTTGCAAGGATGTGATTGGAGAGGATTTGACCGCACCACAACACACTCTTATTGCTGTGCTTTTATAATATCAAGTGGTTTCAAGTTAAATGCAGCAGCTGACCTGTAGGCCACACAACCATAGTCAAAGACTGCCCTGATCAATGCAGCACAGATATTCAAGACAGACACCTGGCCAGCTCCCAGTCACATCCATCTAAACATCTAAAAATGTTGAGGCTTCTTTTACACTTATCAGACATTTTCCCAGTGTGGTATTTCCAAGTCAACTTAGAGTCCTTCCACATTATAAGGAATCTGTCCACTTTGTTCGAGGTCCTGGCCTTACAATTTTAGACCCAGTGCATTAGCATTGGATTTTCTCAAAAAACATATGACTTGGGATTTTGCAACAGACATCCTGAATCCCCAATTATTTCCCCAGTGTTTCACTGGGGAATTGCATCCCACACCTTTTTTTATCACACATATCATATTCCAACCCCTTTTCTATAGGGCCTATCATCTGCAATCAACATCACAAGGCCTTAGTAAGTTATACTACCAGTAGAAGTACCACCAGTAGAAATACAGTGCGCACATTCCTTAACCTGTTTCTCTTTCTCTTATAGGCTCTAGGTTGAAAACATCACCCCTCCCTTGAGCTGACCATAGGCCCTCTGGTGCACTCATGAGTGAGCTCAGTCTGCTCTGCCTCCCTTTTACTGATTCTGCTAGGGAACAGACAACAGGTGAGTATTACAGGTAAGTATAACACTCACAGTTTTGCAGTCTTTCTGGTGATGGGCAATACCTTTGCCTCATCACACATCCACTTCCCATGCTGGGAGCCTGAGAGCCGTACTCCTCGCAGCTGCAAATGGTCACCCAGCATTACGGCTGGACAGCAGCTGTCGCTGCAATTCAGCTGTTCCCAGCTCTAGAAGCAAAAGCATTTCAAATGCTCATGGACCTACCAGCATTGACCAGCAGCACCAGCTATCACGGTATGTGTCCACTTGAGCTTTTTGTTGCCACACTCTGCTACCCACACGTTTCTGCTCACCACATGTGGGCTTGTCTGACATTTCTCTTATGGAAATGAAGAAAAAAAACAGGACACATATCAAGTATGCTACTTATTTTTAATGTTCCATAAAACCCTATAGAAGAAATATATATATATATATATATATATATATATATATATAATATATATATATATATATATATATATACACACACACACACATAATAAATTTAGTATTTTTAACATAACATAAAGGGCTGTCCATGAGAAACTGTCATTAAAGACTTCATCCATATTAGCTGTCTATGTTTAAAATCTAAAGTTGTGACCCTGCTTTGACTAGATAATATTCGCTGACATGGATGTAAACAAGGACACTTCTTTGTATTTACAGATACCTTGCGACAGAGAGTTCCTTTGGTCTTTCTGGTTTTTATATTTTTATAGACAAACTTTGGTCTTCAATTGGCAAATTATCTTTAAATAAAACAGAATTCTGATAATATTAAGAAATGGTTTGCATTAGAAGTTTTATCTGAGCTTAACGTCTTAACATCACTTAACATCCAAAGAGAAACTCATGCTTAATGGCAGTATCAATACAAGTCTTTTTATTTATGAAATTAAGACATTCCAAACTCCGTAACAACACTTACAGTTAAGGTATTTGTGGCTAAACAGATTCAAACAAGACCATCAGGAATTTATCCTTGGTCACACTACAGTATTTTTAAAATCATAACCGATAACCAATGTAGTGTGGGCCAAGAATTAGTGTGTTTTGTTTTAATTCTTAATTTGTCTATATGTATTTATCTATTTACCATTTTAAATCAATACATGTATTACATTGTTTGACCAAATAATATCATAGAATTCACTTCCTTTTGTTCCGCAAAGCCTATGCAATTTTTTAAAGTATACTCTAAAAAGCACTATTAAAATATATAATTAAATGCTCCAATATCAATGGCACAGAATGCTTGAATGCAACATCTTTTAACATAATATTAACAATTATGAACTACTTTATAATGATTTGGAAACCTATGGAAAACTTTAAACTCATCTTAGGACTTTAAAAATGGTACTTATTGTGGCTGTAGTTAATGTATCTTGCTCTTCAGTAGCAATGTTTCAAATAAGTAAAGTTCTGTATAATGAACATGCTCTTCAAAACTTTCAGCTGACACCAACACACTATGCTTCACGTGCATAATATCAGTTGTGTCCCAACGTTCTGTCCTTCCAAAATTCTGTCAAATTTAAATACATGTTAGAAGCAGGCCTGGGTCTATGGGGGTGCAAAAGCATACACTGCCCACTCATTTGAGCTTTGTAGAAAATGCACTTAAGCAGCGTATATGCCGCTAATGAAGATAATTTATATAGTGTACATGCATCTGAAACTCCTCCAACTGCCTGAGCGGATTCCCCCTCTGTGGGTTCTTACTTAAAATCAGGATGCGGTTTGTTCTTTGTTATTTTCCTGTCTGCATAACACACAGTTTAACTGGATTTAATGCAACACAGTATGTGAAATGTTGACTACAAACCACTGTACCCAGAATTAGCAGATTACTATGTATTATTACATTAAATTATCATAATACAATCGTGTACAGTGAAAATGTCTTTATGCATGGCCCATTCCCAGTTCACAGCGCATGGTCACACATTATGGTGGGGGTCATGATATACCCTCCTATATACACAGACCACTAGAACAAAACACAATCTAAACATGAACCAATATTAACAGATTATTTAAAAGTGCAAAAGTGTGTGTGTGTAAGATTTTCAGGATGTGATCTTCCAGGGGTTATTCCATGAAGCAAGCTAACTCAATAAGCCCAGCTATTTTTTGTCAATTTCAAGTCGACAAAAGAAGCTAATCTTCTGCCCTGCTCAGTCACATGACTGTGAAGCGTTATCAATGTTTTTTTCTGCGTACACCCTATTCAGAACCTGCACTTAATCACTCAGAGTTTAGATTTAACCAACCGCAGCATCTCTTACCCCACAAAGAGCCTGGGACACATCCTGTACATTTTTACAGTGTGAATGATAATACTGCGGACTGAATAGCGGAAAGATCTTTTAAAAATCACATGGATGGTGGGGCTGTAAGGGACACTGATTCACTCCCTAAAGTCAATGTGCAACATTTTTAAAACCAGTGCGTTGTTATTAACAAGAGGAAAATACACCTTTTCGTTCAGTCAAAAAAAAACGTTTTATTAGTCATCTTTTTTTAGCCTGTGGCATGAATAGAGCCTCAAGTAAATGTTATTTAAAATGAGCATATTAAAATTACTTACATCTTTCTCACATCTTCCTAATTTTCAGTTAGACCTTCATGATGATTACTACTGCTGAACAGTACAGGGTATCTGAAGAAGTTCTCACCATCATACAGTTTTTTGAAAAGTTTAGCATTTCCAAGCTCTTGAGTGTGTATTCCTAGGAGGATCAGGAGAATCAGGACATATCCCATCATTGGAAGACTATTTTATGTTATTCAAATACCTAAAGCTCCTCCCACAGTACAAACAGTGTTATGGCTGTTCTCCTGCATGAATGTGCAGGTGTTTGTTAAGATGATTCAGTCTATTGAAACTCATATCACACTCCAAGCATTTATACGGTTTCTCTCCTGTGTGAATGCGCTGGTGTATTCGGAGCGCACGACTCTCTCTAAAGTTCTTCCCACACTCTGAGCAGTAATACGGTTTCTCTCCTGTGTGAATGCGCTTGTGTGCACTGAAGGCACCACTCTCTCTAAAGCTCTTCCCACACTCTGAGCAGTAATACGGTTTCTCCCCCGTGTGAATGCGCTGGTGTACCTGGAGATCACTCTGTCTAGTAAAACTCTTTCCACACCTTAAGCAGTTATATGGTTTTTCTCCTGTGTGAATGCGCTGGTGTTTTCTGAGGGCAACACTCTCTCTAAAGCTCTTCCCACAGTCTGAACAGTGAAACGGTTTCTCTCCTGTGTGAATGCGCTGGTGTGTTTGGAGATAACACTGTCTAGTAAAGCTCTGTCCACACTCTGAGCACTGATACGGTTTCTCTCCTGTGTGAACGCGCTGGTGTCGATAGAGAGAACTCTGTACAGAAAAACTCTGTCCACACTCTGAGCAGTAATACGGTTTCTCTCCTGTGTGACTGCGCTGATGTATTTGGAGATTACTTTGTCTAATAAAACTCTGTCCACACTCCGAGCAGGGATACGGTCTCTCTCCTGTGTGAATGCGCTGGTGTATTTGGAGATGACTCTGTCTAGTAAAACTTTGTCCACACTCTGAGCATTGGTGAATTCTTCCTTTGCCTGTCCTGTTTTGTGTTCGTCTGGGTGACGGTTTGGTGCAGAGTGCAGCGGAAGATGTTTGAGTAGTGGAGATTTCAGACACCACATCCTCACATTTAATCTCTTCTGGCTTCAGCATTGCGATGCCTTTCTCTTGATGGCTTGATGGTTTCTTGATGTGGTTGTGGAAGTCAGAGGAGGCCATTCTTTCCTGGAAAAAAATAGGAAAATATAAAATTCAGTGTCAAATGTAGTAAAACAAATGTCCTGGTCAGAAATCAAAGTAGTCAAACAGAAAAAGCTGTGTCAGGCTGTTGGGTTTACCAGACAAATCTTTTACAGTAAAACATTATAAAAATTATACCTACTTTTCTGTTCAGTATTTTTTGGGATCTATTATCTGGGCAACATCTACACATTTATTTTTGCTATTCAGAATCTACTCCAGCTACTTTCTCCTGGTTATCAGCGCCGTTTAACATTTAGAAATTGGTGTTAGATTGACGCTTTTTGGCATTTACTGAATGGTGGATTTAAAATCATGTACTGCTTACTTGGCATCCATGTAAGGGAACTAAACTAATTAGATTGTTTTCAGGTTTGCAATAACGCAGCAGAATACAGTGGCAGGATACTGACAACCAAAAGTTATGTTGTCAAGTCATCACACCAAACGGTTAGCTAACGGTGAGCACAGTTAGCTAACCATCTCCAAAAAATGTGCTGAGCCCGGTTTTTAAGTGTTTGTGTCAAACTGTGTCCATGTGGAAATGCCACTGAAATGGTTACCCCACAGAACTATTCGACCCTGCAGGAGAAAAGAGGACAAATAGTACTGACCAATTACTGTCCCACATCTCTCATGAACGGCTATGGCCTATCTGAACTTTCTATGGGCACATGGCTAAGAAGAGGCCAACCAATTCTTCTTTCCCTTCTGATACTGTGCAACAAAAGTCTGGGCTGCTTACTAATCTTCTAAAGGCACTGTACAGCAACAAGATCTTTTGTGATTAGGATTTCATCTCGTCAGGTACTTATGTCTGAGGTAAACTGGCCTAATCTTTTTTGAAAAGGAACACATACCCAGTGGGTACATCTGTTGCAAGACCAACAGTAGGTATTCAACAGTAGATATTTGGTTTAGACTAAGTTGCATGTCAGTTTGACATTACACTTGGTTACATGGTATCGCACAAGCTGACTTCTTCAGGTGTGACATCACCTTGGCCCCCTTGTGAAGAGTAGTTTCATCAGGAGAAGAAAGACCTGGAGGGCTACATGTTGCTGACTTCTAATGTGACAAGACCACTAATGGAGAGAACTCTAGTGCCCAGCTTTTGGTTGGACAAGAGCCAGTTTCCCTTTTAATTTAACCGATTCACTGTAGTAGCAATACACTTGACCTGGCTGACCAACAAATGTCCTCAGCGGGAGCCAGTCCTGGGATAAGCCATGTCAGAGCATGGACAGACACACATACTTGTTTCCATTTTAACACACAGCCATACACACATTCAGGGAGCTTTTGGCAAGGCTGAGAGTGACAGGTAAACAATTCTCCTTCATAAGCTATAGTGCTTCTTAACAGATGGGGTGTTCATACAGGTATTACAATGACTGTGCTTTGAAGGGGATTTTTTTTGTTTGCAGGTTTTGTTTACTAGTGATTATAAACATCTGCTAAGGAGCAGGTTCTAGCTGTGTGATTTGTTGGTATTACTGCTTATTACGTTTAGGCTTGAGATCTGTGTTAAGAGCTAGCATTTGCAGACACAAGAAGTAATGAGCACTGAAAAAAAATGTGACAAGTTCAGAAAGCAACCCCAGGCCGGGTCCAACTGCATCACTACTAGAAGAAAATTTAAGTGATTAACATGAAAATTCTGGTAGATTCTGGTACACTCTGAGAATACAATACAGGGGTAAATTATTTAGTTAATTCAGTACAACAACAACCAAGTACAACTGTGCTTGGTCCCTGATAATCACTGTTGATGATTTAATTAATTTGTAGATGGCAGTTAAGCTTTCATAGTGGTTACAACAGACCACAGAAATCAAATGTTATTAATTTCAAACAATAAAGTGGTAGCTGATAAAATTGTACAATTATTTTATAATTTACACCTAACGTTTTTTCCCTAGTGTTTGAAAGCTGGTGATTAAAGAAATCCAAATGAGCGAAGATGAAACCAATTCCAACACTTGTGAAACGTGGCACATTTTTGGAAAAGTTATATCAGTTCTGAAAACCTTTGCCAAAATATATATATATATATATATATATATATAATATATATATATATATATAATATATATATATATATATATATATGGGTCAGCTAGATAATTATTGTGAATCGCTGATCTGCTGTATTCTTTGCTAGCAGAGGGGCATGTTCAGTGACCTCAGGCATTAAAAGAGCTCTCAACAATTCTTCCTTTTTACCCCAAAAGAGAGGCCCCTCCTCCGTTCTGCCTTTTTCCATTGTCTGCACCACATGGGCAAAGGACCCAACTACAGTAGACCTGTTTTGAACTAGTTTAACTATTTCAAGTTAAAGTAACTAGCTTGAGCGGCTGTTAACCATTCAAAAATATTCTCAGACAAGCTTGCAAAAGGTGGTCAACTGCCTTGTGAAGCGATCAAGTCCTTCATTTGCAGATAAGTCTCTTTTCCTGGATCTCCACCTAGAGGAATGGACACTATTCCTAGCAACCCTGGATGATACACTTTGTAGCTAAAAATCCTCTCTACATTCCACACAGGAATTCCATGAACACGGCTCGAAGGACATCTTGTCCATGGCTTAACTGTGAAGTCCATGCAGCTCCGATTGCACATACCGCTGCTTTTAAATCAGGAAACACCACCAACACGAGAAGCCTGTGAACGGTGTTAAACACAATAACAGACTTTAGGAGGCAAACTTGTTCTGTGAGTAACATCAGTGCTGCGCTTCCAGATGAGCTGAATACTTTATACGCCCATTTCGCGCCGCGCTCCTGGAATCAGCCCCCGCTGAGTGCAGAACCTTAAGCACGTTTACACCCGCAAGGCAGCCGGACCAGACGGCATTCCTGGACACATCCTCAAAACATGTGCACATCAGCTGGCAGGAGTGTTCACAGACATCTTTAAGCCCTCTCTACACTGATCCCTGACTCTACACGCTGCCCTCTCCCACCTGGACAAAAAGAACATGTATGTGACTATAGCTCAGCATTCAACACCATCATGCCCTCAAGGCTCGACATTAAGCTTCAGGATCTGGGTCTGAACAGTTCTCTGTGAAGCTGGATCCTGAACTTCCCGACAGGCCGATGCTAGGTGGTAAGGATGGGCAACATCACCTCTTCCTCACTGACCCTTAACACCAGAGCTCCTCAGGGCTGTGTGCTCAGCCCTTTCTTGTACTCTCTGTACACCCACGACTGTTCAGCCAGACACCGCTCCAATGTCATCATCAAATTTGCAGATGACACCACGATTGTGGGCCTGATCTCCAATGACAATGAGGAGGCCTACAGAGAGGAGGTCAGCTTCCTGACACACTGATGCCAGGAGAACAACCTGTCTCTCAATGTCAACAAGACCAAGGAGCTCATAGTGGACTTCAGGAAGCAAGATAAAGTGCACACCCCCATCACCATCAACTGAGCCACTGTACAGAGGGTCAGCAGCTTCAAGTTCAGGGGAACTGACATGGACCAAACACACCACATGGGTGGTGAAGAAAGCTCAACAGCGCCTCTTCTACCTCAGGTGGCTCAGGTTGTTTGGTATGAACCCCCGCATCCTCAGAATATTCTACACATGTACTGTGGAGAGCATTTTAACAGGCTCCATCACCACCTGGTATGGGAACTGCACTGCCATTGAGTGGAAAGCTCTGCAGAGGGTGGTGCGGACAGCCCAGCACATCACCAGGGTCCAGCTCACAAACCACCTGGATTTATACACCAGCCGCTGCCTGAGGAAGACCAGGAGGATTCTAAAAGGACTCCACCCACCCAAGCCAACGTCTGTTCTCACAGCTGCCAAGCCGGAGGAGGTACACAAGCATAAAGTCCAGAACCAGCCGGTTCCGAGACAGTTTCTTCCCCCGGGCCATCAGGCTGTTGAACCAGCCAGTAGTGCTGGTGTATTGGTCTATAGGCCTGTCACTGCACCTCTGAATCACCATGATGATGATCTCCAGAGACAATTCACACCACATCCACACCTCAAACAGACTCACTCTAGTTTACTGTAACTTCTATTTAGTCAACCTACACCTGCACATATAGATTGAGATCTTGGATCTTTGATCCATATCTTGTAAATCTGGAACATCAAGAGAGTTGAAGAACACCAAAAATCTCGAATATTAATGCATTTTCCATGTATTTATGTTTTAACCAGTTTTGTTTTGATCATCTAAACTCAGAAACATATGTGTAATGCAAATTAAATCGCTTATCTTTGCATAATATCTCTATAACATCATAATATCTCAGTAAACATCATTAGACTGAGTCATCTTCAGTTTGTCACAGTTTAAAGTCAGTCTTTGTTCTAGCATGGACAAGAACATTTGCAAGAGTTACCTGATCTCGTTACCATACAGTGAAGCTTGCTTGTAAACCACCCGCAAACGCTTTCACAGTTTGAAATTGGCACCATTTTTGTCTCTGTTAAGTGAACAAAGTAACAGTGTGTCGTCTTACAAAATTATCTTGCTCATGTGTCATCTCTCTTACACTGGCTAAATATGCACTGAGCTAAGATTCAGTGTAACAATGTTGATGTTGAAGAAAGGTACATGCATACTTACATGGAATGTTCGTAGTAGGTTCCCAGTGGCTCTCACTTTGATGGAACATAAGATAAAGTATAACAGCTGAGACATTTTAATGGTGGTTTTCAAGAAACATGTAGAAGCACTGGCTTGTCAAAGTCTGATTAAAATTACAGTAAAATCAGAAATGACAGCTACTGCTTGGTTTATTTATGCTCAGCAACACCTCAGTAGTGCAGATCTCTCTCTCTTTCTGTGTTTATATGAATAGACAATTGAGAGAGTTCTCTCTGGACCAACCCATTTTCTATGCTCTGTAAAAAAAAAAACAGTCACTGGGAAGCTAGTACAGACATCTATAGTCATAAGTAAATATGCATGTAACTTTTAGTCTGCTGATTAATACAAAGACAAAACACCAAAACAAATATTCATCAGCAACAGGAAGAGAAAATGGCACCAATGGGAATCCTTAATTTTACTTACCAACCATCTGATATGTTACAAGGACAATTAGAACATATGAGTGAGTAAAGAGTAAAAATCTCATTCGTCTGTCTACTACTGTCTAACGGGTCAAGCTAATTCTTTGGCTGACCCACAGAAACTGTATTTAATTTTTACTGTGTGCAGTATTTGCCAGTAGTGTAAAAGTCAGTTTCACTCAGCAACTGTAAGGGGGCCCCTGGAGCAAAAATACCCTCGCACCAACCCTCCCACCCTCCAAGCTAACCTAGCACTCCATTAAGAAATAAATGTAGCCCACGAAAAAATTACAATAATAGTGTTAAAAGCAACTTTCATAAACATACAATTAGAAGAAAAAAAGCACAAGTATTCCAGCCAGCATCCATCCATTAGCACATGAAGTTAAGTTTCTGACTCTATTCTAATCTTGTTGGATCTTTATGGTCTAAAATAAAAGGGTAACTTGCCAAAGTGAGAGGTGTGAGAAACAGTAAAGCAGTCCAGGTGCGGAATAGAATAAAGTCAAAGCCAAAAAAAGGATTAGAATTAGGAACGAAATGTTAACGAAATAATGAACGAAATGTTAACGAAATAATAAATGTAATAACAAATGTGACTAGTTTCTCAGCACTTCAACCCATACAAAAACAAGATCGCCCTGAGAGCAACACTAAGAGCTAAGAGCTAACATTGGCCTTCACAGCTCCGTCTGGACAAAAGCTGCTTCTGTGTTAGCGCACACACTTCACTTATTTTACACCTTTTTTCACATGTGAACATTTCTCTACCCGTTTCTGTAAGAGTGAGTTAAAACACAGAGTAAACAGCTCGTTACCTTCAACGGAGCAGCGTCTGCTTCTCTCTAGTAACATTGTGGCGCGGTGGATTCTTCTTCTTCTCAGTTTTTAGCGGTTGGCAAGCCTGTCATTGGATTCTTCTTCTTCTCCGCTTTTTTGGCTTTGGAGACCCAGAGGTTGAATCTCAATTGGCTCCGTACTCCCTATGTAGTGCGCTATGTATGCCGTGAATTATAGACCTCGGCACCCAAATAGTATATTATTTGTCCAAAAAACTATTTGTTATTCAGCCATTGGCTGCACTACTCCTTATATAGCAGTAACTGCACGATCTGACCATAGAGACCGTCGTTCCCTGACTTACGTTGTGCACTATTTAGGGAGTAGGGAGCCATTAGAGATTCCGCCACTGTCCACATACTGATAAACCCCGCCTCCTGCGCTACCATTGGCTAGAAGTTCATATTAGCTGTCGGTTGATTGGCCAGTGAAGAGACTCTTCATGGTAATAAAGCAATCAGAATTAGATCATCTACGTTGGTGAGGAACAAGATCCAGAAAATCCAGGAGAGTTTTATACCAGTTCAGCACAGCAGGACACTTAAACACTCCACTGTTTTCAGAAACACGTCTATTTCTCGTTTAATAATAATAGCAATAATAATAAAAATTATTACTATTATTAGTATTATTATTATTATATACAGCAATTTCATTAGGGTTTAATATTTACCATATTCATTTTGTCATGTTTATTTGGCATAAATATGACAAAATTTTGATCTTTGATTTGCAAATTAGCTTAAAAAAAAGAATTCTGATAATATTAAGAAAAAGTCTGTAATATAAGTTGTACCTAACCTGAACGTTCACAAGTTTCAAAGATAAATTTTATAGCAATAGCAGTACAGTTTTTTTATTTAAAAAATCAATGTCAATCCAAAATCCATAATACCAAACCAAAATAAGTGGATGTTACCCATCTTAAGTTTGCTACACAACAAACATGTGATACTAATTTATGTACTTATTATTATATATAATATATATGTATAGGTTGGATTGGATAACATTTATGCAAAATTAAAGAAACTTCCTATACCTTGCTTGTACTGAGGAACTTTCTAGGTAGAAACCAAATTGTTTTTGAATGTTTATTAGTAAAGAGATCATTTAAATTCCAAAACACCACAACTGGCTTAGAAACATATTTTCTCAGAATGTTGAAAGAAATAATAATATTAAAGCACAATTCAGTATAGGATCAAAAAAAGCAGAATACTCCTAAGGAGAAATTCTTTCAGTTGACAAACAGGTAAAATGTTTTTGTCAGTCCACCCAGTCCACCATTTTCTTCTGGTTGATCCAGATATTGTATGTGGAGAGACATTGTTTGTATACGACATACAACAATGTAATAGGAGCTGTTTAGAGCTTCACTTGTGATTTTGAAATTTTAGTTACATTCCAGGTGGAAGTTTAGCCTCCATAAATATTTAAACCCTTGTGGTTATAACATTCAATTTAGAATTAGGATCTTTTGTATGGAAATTTTAAGCCTCCTTTATTAACACTGTTTGAAGAGAGAGATAATTAACAGAAATCAGCACTGTGAATTAGCATAAAAGTTCAGGTTAACGATTTCAAAGGAATTCACAGACAATTGCTTGGCTGCTGGATGGCAATAGAGCCAAGAAACATTTGTAACAACATGCTTGAATGCAACACTTTTTAAAATAATATTAAGAACTATGAGGTGGTTCATTATGGCTAGAAAATCTAAGAAATACTTTCACCTTTTAGCACTCAGAATTGAATTAATTGTGTGTTGTACTTACTGCATTTTGTTCTTTAGTTGTAATGTTTCAAATAAGTAAATAAAGTTTTGTACAATAGACATGGACATGTTCTTCAAAACTGTTGGTGCCTGCACACCACTGTGCTCTAGATCTGTCTAAAGAGTAAGTTACACCAAGATGTTGTCCCCTTTTGCAAGTACAGGCACATCTATCAACTTTTAGTCATACAATTTTTCAAAATTCTGTCAAATTCAGCACAGTAATCACATGGTCATGGCATAATTAGCTGTGAGCTCAGTTGAAACTGCCTCGTAATCTGAACTTAAAGTGTCTTGTTGTGGTGACACTTTCCCAGCATTCAATGAAATAGTCAAAATGAACTGGCCCATAGTCCCGTATGCAGTCTCTCAAATAAAGGCATAAATGTGTGTTAGGAGTAGGCCTGGGCTTATGGAGGTGTGTTGCATTATCTGTTGAGCTTTGTAGAAAATGCAGATAAGCAGCTGTGCATGCTTCTCTTTAATCAGAGAATATTGCTGTCTATAGTGATTCCAATTTCTGAACTGTTAGTTTTGTTATTAGTTTTGGGGTTAGAGGTCATGCCTCATTGAAATAAATCTCCCCAGGGTGTAGCTAAAATAGATAGTCAAACATAGTGAGCGAATACTGTCATGAATATACCTAAATGGATAGAATAAAACACAAAACAATCAACATTTCCATTACCAACACTAATGCCCGAGGCATGTCTACATCACCAGATGAAGCTGAATGTAAGCCCTTGAGTCACTGACTGTACTTAATAGAATTAACAGAATTAACATCATGTCCACCTCTCCAACTGCCTGAGCTGTTCCCCTTTGTGGGTTCATAATTAAAAGTGCCTGGCGACCTTGTTGATGAACAGCCTCTAAAGGTGTGTCTTATATATGTAATATATATGTAAATATATGTACTTGACATTTGTTGATAAATGTTTACATTTAAATACATAGTTAAACCAGGTAGATTGTATCTGGTCTTTGCTTCTTTACCTGTGGTATAGGACACTCCTGCAGTATGGGTTGGTCTTTTTTCTGCCAACATAATGCACACTATGATGATGTGAGCACCCCCATTACCAGTGCACCATCAGTGTTTTTCTTCTGGGCCCAGGCTTGGTTAGGTGTGCAAACAGCAGCAAATTTGGAGAGACTTGTCTGCAAGTATTTATTTGTAGTCTACTTAGGGATACATCTCTGGAGCAAGAAATGAAACAAGCCAGCACAAAATGAAGGCACATGCTGTAGTGTCTGTCACCAATAAGCTCCTGCTGAGAACACAAGTAAATGCTTCTCTGTATCCTAAGAAGGAGACACTTTCTAAAACTATACATTGCTCGAAATAAAGGTACTCGGCAGGTATGTTTCGTTTATCAAAGTACAAACAATGTAAATGTTCCCTCAAAGGTTCAACAGTGGTTTTTACGTCCAATTGTGTACCTTAAATAAGTTTTTCCAGGTGAAAAGCATGTATTTGTATCTTTTCATAACTTACGTTTCAAAACAGAACAATGAAATAAAAAGGCTGGAGACGAGACAGGCTGCATGGAGTCTGTACAGCTTAAAAAATATAATTTCATTATGGTACAGTTATGTTCCCTGACTAAATGTACTAAATGTCCCACCCCAGTGACAAGAGGGATACTGCCTCAGTGACAGTTTCAGACCTTTTTTTCTGATAGTGCACTGTACCAAAGTTCTTGGACCTCATCTACCAAGGCAATAATGAAAACAATTATTCTAAATGATGGCACATTAGGGTCAGGTACAAATGTAGCAAGAATTATGTTTTTTTTGTTTTTTTTTTTTACTTTAGCAGGTTTCACAAATACATTTACGGTATTTTGCAGATGCTCTTCTTCAGAGTGACTTGGGTGTTACCCACTACACCACACCATTCAAGGTCAATTTATGGTGCATTTAACCTTGAGTTACTAGAAGTTTTTCTTTCTACTAGAGGTATTTCTTACATCTCAAACCACAGATACAAGAATTTGGAGCTTTCTTGAATCTTTGCATTTCTCTAGGAATCCAGGTCATTTAAAAAGTGTCTCAACAGTAACAGAACAGTAAGACCAAATTGGATTGACATATTCTTTACCACCTTTCCTGACAAAAGTGCTGAATTTTTCCTACAAAGCCAACTTTTTCTGTAGATGTCTATAAAGAGGGACATAACTTTTGAACGTTTTCCATCCTCACTCATTCCATGACTATTATCAAGCTTATATGCCATCATACACTTTGGACAAACAGCATACTGCAAAAAACTGCTATGGATGATGCTGACCTATTGCATAATGAGAACAGAGTCTTTGATATCACTAGAGAATGCAGAGATAGAATCAACAAAGAGGCTATTTGCAGCATTTATTTTGTCTGCAAAGCCAACTTTGCAGAAGTTAATGTAATTGCTTTTTTGCTTACCATAAAGCAACAGACATCTGCTCACCTTCCACTGAGTCAGATTGTAAAGCTGGTGGAGGAGGGATAATAATATGGGGTTGTTTTTCAGGGGTTGGCCTAGGACCCTTAGTTCCAGTGAAGAAAATTTGTTCTAAACACAAACAAATATCAACAGATTATTTAAAAGTGCCAAAGACTGTGTTTAAGATTTTCAGGATTTAATCTTCTGGTCTGATAACAACTGTGCTGTGTAGAACAGACATGCAGAGGTTACTGGGGAGAGGTTTCTAGCACCTGCACCCAGTAACTTGTCAATATTTCTCTTCTTCTCCCCTCCTCTTGACACCACCAGATGAAGAAGTGCAAGTCATAGATTCACATGACACAGAGCATACTTCCTGGGTTGCTTCAGACACTGCATGCTTGGAAGGAGGCTTAAATGTTTATTGAGAATGCCTTCTTGCAAAGCTGCTAACGTCAAATATATCTCTTCAAGTCAGGTGATGTGCCAGACAAGCATTAGACTATGTATGCTAGTCATTTTTGAGATTCCTTTGGACATAAAATTATACAGTTTATAACATTTACACACAGATCTTTGAGGAAGATTTTTGCTGCATCTTAAAATATATAGATAGTTACATTTGAAAATAAATACATTTCAAAAACCTCAAATATTTAAAGTTTTGGGCCCCTTTAGCAGCCCTAATCAAAATCATGTATTTTGTTATTTTAATTTGACACAGTATTATGTTTTTACCTCCCTCTTAATGCATGTGTGTGTCTTTAAATTTGAATGTGTGAAGCTTCTCCCACACTTTGAGCAAGAATACTGTTCCTCTCCTGTGTGAATGCACTGGTGTATTACAAGAGTACATCTGTCAGTAAAACTCATTTCACAGTCTGGACAGTGATACGGTTTCTCTCCTGTGTGAATGCGCTGGTGTGTTTTGAGAGTACCACTTTCTCTAAAACTCTTCCCACACTCTGAGCAGTGATAGGGTTTTTCTCCTGTGTGAATGCGCTGGTGTCGTTGGAGGTTACTCTGTACAGCAAAACTCTTCCCACAGTCTGAGCAGTGATATGGTTTTTCTCCTGTATGGACGCGCTGGTGAATTTGGAGATGATTCTGTATAGCAAACCTCTGTCCGCACTCTGAGCAGTGATATGGTTTTTCTCCAGTATGAATGCGCTGGTGAGTTTTGAGGGCACCACTCTCTCTAAAGCTCTTTCCACAGTCTGAGCAGTAATAGGGTTTTTCTCCTGTGTGAATGCGCTGGTGTACCTGGAGATCACTCTGTCTAGTAAAACTCTTCCCACAGTCTAAGCAGTCATATGGTTTTTCTCCTGTGTGAATGCGCTGGTGTGCTTTGAGGGTACCACTCTCTCTAAAACTCTGTCCACACTCTGAACAGTAATACGGTTTCTCTCCTGTGTGAATGCGCTGGTGTCTTTGGAGAGAACTCTGTACAGTAAAACTCTTCCCACACTCGGAGCACTGATACGGTTTCTCTCCTGTATGGATGCGCTGGTGTATCTGGAGATTACCCAATTGATTAAAACTCTTCCCACACTCTGAACAGCGATATGGTTTTTCCCCAGTGTGAATGCGCTGGTGTTGTTGGAGAGAATTGTGTTGATTGAAACTTTTTCCACAGTCTAAGCACTGATACGGTTTCTCTCCTGTGTGAATGCGCTGGTGTGTTTGGAGATTACTCTGTCTAGTAAACCTCTTCCCACACTCTGAGCAGTGATATGGTTTTGTTCCTGTGTGAAGTTGTTGGTGTCCTTGGATTTCATGCTTCCCACAATCGGAGCATTTGTCAGATTCCTCTCGTCCTGTATTTTTCTGTGTTGACCTATGAGATGTGTTAGAGTGGAGAGTAGCAGAGGTACTGCAGCTTGCAGACACCATATCCTCACGTTTAATCTCTCCTAATTTCAACATTGTGACGACGTAGTTCCCTTGATGACGGTTCTTGCGTTTGTGGAAATAACCCAATAAACTCAGTAGGAAAGTGGACACAATGAGCACGTCTGCAAATAGAGGTCATTCCTTTCTGTTGGAGAATAAAAGAAATAAATTCATTATCAAACACAAAAGTTGACATTTGCATTGAAAAAAACAAACAACTGTTCTGGATTCGTAGTGGTACGCGACTGATGACGGCATGTAGCCATGCAAACGTTAGCATGGTGACAGTGTTACCAGCAAAAATAGATGGTTATTTGAGGATACTTTCAGCAGTGCTGAGTGTTTATTTAATGTAGGAAAAGACAGAAGGAGTTCAACGAGATGTTAAGCTCCCCACAAACTGACATCTGGTTTATTTCACTGCTGCATTTAATGACAAAAGTTGGAAGAATTTAACTCTTGAGAGAATGTTCTGCTTACCGCTTCTGCAGACTATTGCCACTGGTGGTGGCAAAATTTTCAACCAATTTTCAACCTTCAGCTTCACTGAAAAACAATGGAATATCTGTTATGCTGTTGTCTGTGTACTGTTAACATGTGACCGCAGCATAATTGTTCTTGTTAAGTTACTTTTAAAAGTTAGCTTCCTCTACAGACAACTCTGATAACATACTGTTAGCTTACTGTTTCACATGTCTTGCAAACAGCTACAGTCCATGTAAACAGGCCAACCAGTCTTTTCGAAGTGGAGCATATACCTCAGGTGGTTTAACACACAACTCAGATGTGAACATCTTCCAGGAGCTTATCAGTTACAGAGAGTGAGTGTTAATATTTGGGGTAGGAATTAGTTTACATTGCGCAAAGAGATGACACAGCATCTTTCATGGTGATGTCACTTATGCCAGAGAAATTTGTGTTGGCAGAAGAGATACCAGGGTGTTGCTGATTTGTGAAGTGAAGATCACTCACTGAGAAAACTCTGAGGACATTTACCAGGACCTGGCTAACAAGACATCCTCTTTTGAATGGACCATCACCATGGTCCTCAATGTGAGCCAGTCCTGGAGGTATGCCCAACCAGAGAATGCACAGACACATACCTGTTTTTATACTGGCCTAGTAAAGGTAGATGAATATTTCTCCTTTGTAAACTAGGGTGCGTCTTATTAGATGGTTTGATTGTCTGTCAGTTACAGCAGCTGTGCTTTGTGGAGGCATATGTATTGCACTTACATGATCCAAAGGCAAAATGCAGTCATCTCTAATATAAGCTTCTGCAAAGAGACTTGCATCCCAGAAAAATACTGTAGTATGTTCGAGAAATGTTGGTAAAATGTTAGTCTAGATTATTGTTCTTCATTATTTATTCATTGGGTTTTTCTGATAAGGACTCTTTCCCTGCAGGGAGATACGGTAGAACACGAAGAAGCTGACAGCTAAGCGAATAAGGCGTAAAGTGTTAGAGAAAACTCTGTATGAAATAACTGTAGCCATAACATCTGGTTAATAGAGCACTACGACAAGCGCTTAGAATAATGGTGAATGCTACAATATTATTTACAGGTCCAACCACAACAAACCCTGGTTCTCCATGGAGCTTGGGCAACTTTGTACAGCCAAGGAAGAAGCCTACAGGAGTGGTGGTCATTATTTATTCAAAAGCAAAAGGAATACACTCAACAAGGCAATCAAGGCTGCCAAATGCAAATATAGAGATAAACTAGAACAGCAATTCTCCTTTGACGAAAAATCCTCTAGGAGACCCCTGACCATTACTAACTGCAAACCACAAGCTGCAAGTTCTTCAGAAGACCTACTCCCAAACCAAATGAACAACTCTTTCCTTAGGATTTAAAAAAAAAAGCAATAGTTTATATCCACACAACTTCCAGCTTAACTGAAGTAAATCTGCATCCAGTCTGTAGACATGTCTACTCTCATCTCTGCCTGTTCTCCCATGCATAGCACCTACATAACCCTTTCCTACCATCCTCTTTTATCACCATCAGCGAACATGAAGTCAGCTGTATGCAGAGGATATAGAAGATCAGGAAAGTGGCCAGCCCTGATGCTGTATCATCTGCAACAGTCAGGCACTGTGCTCAACATGTATACTTAATTTCTGATGGTCTCTAATGATTTCTTCAAATCAATCTCTGGCCCAGTGTTTTTCCTTGTTTAAAACCTGTCGTTATACTAGATCCTAAAAAGCAGAACATTTCCTGAATGACTATAGATCAGTTGCCTTTAGTTTGAGTATAGTACAATACAGTATGGTATAGTCAGTATAGTCAAGTCCTTTAAGAGACACACCATTACCTTAGTGTACCTTAGAACCTTAACTGGCACCCTCCAGGATCTTCTCTATTTGGCATCACCAGTTGGAGAGCTAACAGTTGATTCTATTAGTCTGGCTCTGCACTACATTTTGCAACATCTGGACAGCCCTGATATGTGCTGTCTGTGGACTTAAGCTCTGCTTTCATTCCTAACATTCTCCTAAAAAAATTAGGCAGCTCAGTGCCTTCTGTCTGCTAGTTGATCAAAAAATTCATGTCTAATAGGAAAAAGTAAGCCACGGTGATTGAACTCAGTGCTTCACATTCTACAGTTCACGGCAAGCTGTAGTAGTCATTCTGTTACAGGGTTTAGGCCATGCAGAGACAGTATGTATCACACAAGCCTCGAGAAACCTTACTAATGCTACCACCCTTTGTTTTGGTGTGAGAATTTATGAAAAAACACTCAATAACAAATGCTGTTTACTTTTTTTCAATATCCACTTCAGAGCCATCATATTTATGTTTAATACTTTTTAAAAAGGTAGTGGGTGTACATAAACAGGGATGCAAAGTAGGGCTGCACAATATGGATATTTAGAATAATAGATTTATTTTTAAAATAGTATGCCTGTGAGACAGTGGCACTGATGCCATGTACTGCTGTTATGAAGCACTGAAAGCAATTTGACTGCTAATAGTGCCAGCTTAGTTGGTTGCCAAATGCATACTAGGCCCTCATCAAGCATCATCTATAACAGTGTTTCTTAGCCATGGTCCTGGAAGCCTGCTGTCCATTTTTTGTGCTTCTCCTGCCTTAATACACCCACTTTAACTCGTTATTGTGATGCTAATGAGCTGATTAGTTGGATCAGGTGTGTTGAAAGCACTAAAAAGAGTAAGGCAGAAGGGTTGAGAAAAACTATATACAATATTCACTGTCCTAATAAAATCAGAACTAACAGTCTGATTATGTTAATGCAAACATATTTTTTTTGGTCCACAAAAAAAAGTTTAGATGTAAAAATAAAAAATAAGTTAAAACAGGAGTTTAAAAAAGTGGAGTACAATAAGCATAGATATTTATAGAATTTTAAGACAAAGAGACTACATTTACTGATCATTTTAGTTTAAACAATTTCATTTAAACTATGTTATTGAAATGAAACAGAAATTAAAATGAATTAAATCAAAAAAGTGATTACAACACAAATATTATTTAGTGCTGTTCATCTCAAGCTGTGGACAGCATGTTTTTTGACATTTAAATAACCTAATTTAATTGCTATCCCAATTTCAGCTCAACAGTAGTTCACATGCTGTTTAAAAATGCAAGATCAAGTTTTTAGTTTGGGCAATATGACAATGTTATGGAGGTGTATTATGCCACAATACGCTGTCGTGGATTTCATCAGCAATCAATCAGTGAAACAATAAATATAAATGACTGTACTCATTTTTGACTATAAAAGTAGTAGATCTGGAGTGCTGATTAACTGATATAACTACAGTGGAACTACTTAGTCCATCCAGCGTCTATTAGCATAGGATTGGAAGTTTGTTAGCCTCTTATTCTCCAGGGTATATCTTGGTTTTTCCATCTGAATTTACATGACCAAATCGTAAGGCAAATTATTCATTAACTGCATGTTATATAAATAAATGTATATTTTATTTATTTATTTTCATGTAAAAGCTCCTGTCATATTAACAGAACGTGTTTTATGATCATACACATATTACTATATGCTTACAATTTATTACTGAAAGCCAAAAATCTTAGAGACTCTTTATATTTTTTTATAAAAATAATTTTTACAGAGCAGATCACTGAAAAGACGCCATCTGTTTATAGTTTATAGCCCAGATTTGTGGAAAAATTGGTCGACATTCAGTAGAAAAAAAATTGTTCAGGTTCTTTTATTATAAGGGTTTAAAACTACATCACCCATCTATTTGACTGGAAAGAAGACAGCTCTCATATGACCCCCACCTTTAGAATGTAGCTTATGAAATATGAAAGTTATGAAGAATATGATGAAGTGCGTTTAAGTTAACACTAGTTAACACTCAATTCAAGTTTTCTTCAACCCAGCTGGGAAACATTATTATTGCCAAAGATAATCTCCGCTCACCCCCAGAATCTCGGAGCTAAGAGCCAACAATAGCCTCTCTGATAGCTCACAAATTTCAGATATTTTACATATTTTACATCTTACTTTGCAAGAAAAGAACTTTCCCCTCAAATGTTTGTAAGAGTGAATTACAAAGACGAATTAAACAGAACAAACACAGTGTAAACAGTGATAATCAATGCTTTACCAGAACAGCCGCTCCCGTTTCTTCTTCTTCTCTGCTTTATTGGCTTTGGAAAAGCACAGTCATAGAACTGGCGCCCCCAGCTGGATTGCCGAGGGCGTTGCACTTTGGATTCTTCTTCCTCTTCTTTTTTGTCTTCTTCTTCTCCTCCTTCTTGGTTTTTTAGCAGTTGACAAAGCTTTTATGTGGTACATTACTGCCACTGACTGGACTGGAGCATGGAGCACCAATATCAGTATTTAACCTTTTTCTAAAGAAGACTAAGAGGTCATTAAACCAGAAACAAGGACTGTGACGTAATGGGAAAATTATCCATTAAAAACATTCTATCAAACAACTCTGTAATTTTCAGAAACCGTTTCAACTTTCCTCACGCATTCCCCATTGTATCACTCAGCAGCTCCCCATAATCATCAGGCACCTCTTTCCTTTCGTTTTCATAGGTTTTACAATGTATTAATACATGTTCCACTGTCTCAGGCTGCTCACAATGTATACATTGACCAGTTGAAAGTTTCTCAGTCCTGAATAAAGAATGATTTAGCCTAAAATACCAAAAACGTAACCTAGCAACTACAGTACCTTTTCTTCCCTCTGCTCACAGTTGTCACTCAAGACCCTGGGTTTTGAATTTTATAAAGATGTCTCCCTCTTGTTATCTTATCCCCCATTTTCTGCCACATCTTGATAGCTTTAACTCTAATAATCACTTTTGCTTCCGGCTTGCTCAATGGTATTATACAGTGTTGTACATTTTATGTGTATCATTTCAAATACAATAACAGGCCATGGTTTCACTTGCCCACCTAGACTTTGTGAATTTGCTTTGTGGTGAACTTCTGGGCACACTTTAACCAATAACTTTAATGAAGAATGGACCTCAATAATAATGACCTTCAAGGTTCAGGAGTGGAGCTCCCCTCTGTTGGACTGTTTACACTGTAAACTGGAAATATTCAGGTGAACTTTCTGTGAATTAATTCCTGAATGGAAAAAAAAATAACTGTAAACACAAGATACTAATATTATTGTTTTTGCAATTCTATTTTTTTAATCTCTTTCTATAAACATATCAATGATATAAAAATATGAAATGTGTTGCCTAAATAACAAAAAGCATTTTTTCTCTTATTGCATTCAGAAATCCTTGTTTGGGTATGTTGTAAGATTTGCTGCAATCAACCTCTTTCAGACTAGCTATCTGAAATCTTGGGTGAAAAGCTTGTAACAAAAATCTGGGCTCAGCTGTAGAATCAATAAACTCCCACTTGAAAAGACTGGACCTCAGTAACAATGACCTGCGGGATTCAGGAGTGGAGCTGCTCTGCTACACTGAAGAGTTCACACAGTGACATGGAGATATTCAGGTGAGCGTTCTGTGAATTGCACTATTTATAGTTAACTGCTGTTGATCAGATGCTTGCTGAACATAGAGTAACAGACTTTCTTCTGCTTCCTTAGGAAGTGCAGGAACTATTGAGCATTTTTGGCAAGGTGTGATGCACTGAGGGTCCACGAAATCTGCAGTAATGTGACTGCACTATTTCTAAAATGACTATTTTGTAGTATTTTCAATGATGACTTATGATCCAGTTTCATAAACAAATCTGATGCTTTGGTAACATTAGAAAAACACATCTTTTGTTGATGAATGTGAATACATAATTGCTAATATGCATTCAGAAGTGCTACCACTTAAAATATTAACAATTAGAAATAGTAAACAATTTTCAATGTAGAAACCATTACAATTCATTACTAACAGTTAATAATGTTAGTTTTTATTTAATTTAATTTTAATTTCAATTGTTATACATAAAACAATTCATAATCTTAATAAATAACTACTTAGTAATTGTGTAATTATTATTAAATGGTTCATATATACTTCTAAAAAACATAAATTATCATTAATTGGATTCCTTTTATAAAGTTGTCAATGAGCTTTATAATGTACTTACAGATATTTAGCACAATATTGCTTATGGCACATAAATACAAATACATTGATGTAATTGAGTGAAATATATAGTGCGGCCTATTTTGGGAGGCAGCTGTCGAAGTACATAACATTTTAAGGCACCATTTGCACACTTCCGAGACAAAGGCAGCATTTGGAAGGCAACATAAGTCAACTGTCTTCTAAGGTGCCTTATTTTGACCAAATTTGAAGGCAGCATCACATTAAGGCAATCCTACAATACTGTTCACTGGCTGAGAGATCAATCACTTCCATTTGATAAACATGGCAGATGAAGCGGTCAATGATGCTGACCCATGTGTTTACAAAGGTAAATTATTCCTTGTCTTTTGTTTTTACTGTTTTGACTGACCACTGTATTTGTTTACCATGTTTGTGTTAGTAGATGGCTAGGATTCATTCCTGTGGTTACTTTTAAGCGGTTTGCCTATCTAACATGACCTGACAGGCTGTATTTGTAACTCATTTGATTAAGCGAAGCATTCATTGTGTTTCTTTTAAATTTGTACATATATTCGTAAATGTAATGGATAGGTATTCTCCTAAAATATAAAAATTAATTGTATTTTCAATATTGTGTTCACAAAGTGTAATTTGGACTGAATATAGATAATCAATTCCTGTGTTCTGAATATGTATTTCCAATACTTGTATTTCATTACACCTTAACTCTGTTACTTGAATACAGGTCAGAGATGGGCAGGGTGCACAAATAGGTTTTATCAGTTTTTGAGGTCCACTGGAATTTATGATTTTATATAGTGTTTTTTTTTTTTTTTTAAATAAATTAAATTTTTTTAAATAAAGTACAGAGTAGACATCTACTTCTGAAGTCTTGCTCCGGCTCAGTAGGTGGCGGTAATGCACCTTACATTGGCTAATCGATCGCCATTCACACAGAAGATGAAGAAGAAAAAGAAGAAGAAGTAGTAGTAGTCCACTTTGTTATTAGAGAGAAACGGATGCTGCTTTGTTGAAGGTAAAAGGTTGTTTAGCACTATTTTCCGCTGTTTGCACTGTTTTTAAATCAGTCTTACAGAAATGGGTAGAGAAATGTTCACCTTTGGAAGGAGAGATGTGAGATATGTGAAGTGTGTGAGCTCACACAGAAGCAGCCTTTGTTCAGACTGAGCTGAGGAGGCTACTGTGAGCTCTTAGCTCTGTGGTTTTGTGTGATAATGTATGGGGTGAAGAGAGGTGTATAGAAATCAGTCCTTTTTTTTATTACATTTATTATTTTGTTAACGTTTCGTTTTTATTCCCCTTTTGGCTTTGACTTCATTCTGTTGTGTTGGTTCACTGTTTCTGTTTTACTGTTTCTTACGTCTCTCACTTTGAAGATTTTATTTATTTATTTTTTTTTTTAGATGAAAAAGATCCAACAAGGAGAGAAAACTGCATAAATAAATAAATAAATAAATAAAAAACTGAAAACAAAAAAACTGAAAACTGTAGACAAACCTCAATTCCTATGCTGGGTCAAGTACTCGTGCTTGTTCCTTCTCCTTGTATGTTTACAGACATTGTTTTTACTGCTTTTTTGCTGGGCTTTTACTTCTTAATGGGGGGTACGAGTTAGGTTTGGGTGGGGGAGGGTTGCTGGTTAAGTTTTTTTGTGTGTGGTTTGTATTATTATTTGAAGGTTTTGGGGGTTACTAATGAATAGCTGATTAATTTAAGAGGTGGTCCGAGTGCCTCTGAGCATGTGGGTGTTTGTAAAAGTTAGTCAGTTTTTTTATTCACTTTTACTTACCCGTAAGATGTAATTTTACTTGTCATGTGTCAGGTTGTTGTTAAGCCAACTCACGTAATCCGTTAATTTTTTTGTGTTGCTGATGAACATTGCTTTTTGAAGCTGAGGCACTTTAACAGTGGTTTCACCAAGTAGTTGGACAAATGCGTTAGAACGCTGGCTTGTCTAATATTACCAAGTTTGTTTCAAAGGTTTTTCTTTTTTCAGAAACACCAATCACATTATAAGTACTTAATTTCATTGTTTTATATGGAAGATATTTTACTCAACCTACATTACATACATTGAAATTGGAATTGTAAAAATTATACTCTGTGATCTTTAGACATTGTGGGCACATTTTGTCGCTTACCAACTTCCTCTTGTTGCTTAATGATGGCTCAGAGAGCTACACTGCACAGGCACTGCTGAGCATAAATAAAGCAAGCAATAACTATGTGTTTTGATTTTACTATAATTTTAATCAGACATTGACACATTTCTGATGACCATCATTGAAGTGCTTCAATTATTGTACTTTCTTTGATGTTCCTTAAAGAGCATTCACAGTAGTCAGCAAATATGCACGTCCCCTATTTGTTGTAGTCAGCAGACCAAAACTGTCTTATTATACAAAAAATGTTCATCAACAACAGGAAGAGGAGACAGTGGCACTATTGGGATTGCTTGATTTTTGCTGACCACCTGACACCTGACAAGAACAATTATAGTAAAAATAAAGTGAGTAAAAATGTCTTGGATTTTATAAATACCGACATGACCAGGTGCCGGTGTCTATTGGCTAAGCACAGTAGCAGGTCAAAGCCCACTGCTAGCAGAGAACACAGTACATATTTGGCAAAGCCCACAGACATAGATTTTTTATTGGCAAAAGTTATAAGAACAAAGATAACTGAAAAGTGAAGAGTGCCACGTTTTGCAAATGTTAACATTTGCTTCTTCTTTGCTTATTTGGATTTCTTTAATAGCTTTCAAACAGTATGAAAAAAGGTGAAGGTATGTAAGTTCTGAGGGCTGAGGACATTTGTTTCTCAGCCAGCTCAAGTCTTACTACTGCAGTGGTTTGGTTAAATTACAAGGGAGAGGGGCTCTTGACAATTCGAAAGCAGGGCAATTGGATTCTTTTCGTAAGCGTTCTTGTCACGTTACAAGTCAGCAACATGTGGCCCTCCAAATCTTTCTTTTCCTGACAAAACTACTCTTCAAACGAGGGCCAAGGTGATGTCACCCCAAAACAAGGCAGCTATGTGATATCACGTAAAGTCAAACTGACGTGCGAGCTAATCTAACTTCTACACCAAATACCTACTGTCTCTATACCAGCAGTAGAATCTATAAGCAAGTTCCTAGAGGTATTTGAAAGGATATTTTGACCGGAGGTGTGTGTTTGACCCCCTAATGTAAGTGTTCCTCTTTAAAAAAAAGATTCTACATAAGAACCTGACAAGATGAAATCCTTATTACAAAAGATCTTGTTGTAGTACAGTGCCTTTAGTGGATTAGTAAGCAACCCAGACCACATCATTTCTCTTAAGTGGCAACAGGAATTTTGCTCTGTAGTGCAAGCAATGTTCTTAGTCTTCTCCCCTTGTCTTTAAAAGTCTCCCTTTGCAGATAGTGTCAGAAGGGAAAGAAGAATTGATTGGCCTCTTCTTAGCTATTGGCCTATAGAGAGTTCAGGTGGGATGTAGCTATTCACAAGAGATGTTGAAGAGTAAGCTAACAGTACTTAACCTTGAGGGTTGTCTGCACTTTTTATGATTCTTTTGACAGTTTTCAGCACTACGTCTTACTTTCTGTGGCGTGGGGTAACATGGTGCATAAGGTTTGAATTGCATGCATTCTTCTCACCTAGTATCCAGTGACGAGCAAATAAAAAATTTTAGCTCAAAAAAGGTAGATGACTGAAATTTTCCACAAACAAGTCTGTCAATACCAAAGGGCCAAGGGCATCAACAGGGTTCTATCGAAATTTCCTGCATGTTTCATACATAGTTAACTTGTGTGCTGGGGGTACTGCTCTTAGGCCACATTTTTTGATGGCTTGATGTTGGTAAATTTTAACATAATAATAATAATAATAATAATAATTGGCATACATAGATGCTGGAATAACTAATTTTCTACCTCTTAGAAGAATGTCAGTATTCCTCTAAAAGATTTTCTTTTGCTGTATGGTCTATGTTTTGGCCATCCTTATCATATTAAAATATAACTTTAGTGTAAATTGTGCAACATTTCCATGTTGTTTATAACGCAGAAAATGTATTACTTATTCCATGTTTCAAAAGTCACTACTACTGAATTAAGTTAATTTTAGGTACAAAGACATTGCCCAGATAGTTTTAGGGATTTGAAAAAATACTGAACAGATTGACGTTCAGAAATAATTATTTTAATAATGTTTTGTATTTGTCTGTTAAAGTTTTGTCTGGTAAACCGCTTAACCTGACACAGCTTTTTCCATTTGACTACTTTGATTTCTGACTAGGACTGAATTTTACATTTTCCTATTTTTCCAGGAGAGAATGGCCTCCTCTTCTGAGTCCTTTCCTAGAGCTCTAATTTACTTCCACAACCTCATCAAGAAACCACCAAGCCACCAAGAGGAATGCATCACAATGCTGAAGCCAGAAGAGATTAAATGTGAGGATGAGGTTTCTGAAATCTCCAGTACTCAAACATCATCTGCTACAGGCTGCACAAACCCATCACCAAGACAAACACAAAAAAATACAGGCAAAGGAAAAATTCACCAATGCTCAGAGTGTGGAAGGAGTTTCAGTGCACAATGTCATCTCCAGATACACCAGCGCATTCACACAGGAGAGAGACCGTATCACTGCTCAGAGTGTGAGAAGAGTTTTACTAAACTAAGTAATCTGAAACAACACCTGCTTATTCACACCGGAGAGAAACCATTTCAGTGTTTAGACTGTGGAAAGAGGTTTACTGCACAGAGCCATCTCCAAAGACACCAGCGCATCCACACAGGAGAGAGACCGTATCACTGCACAGAGTGTGGACAGAGTTTTAATGTACAGAGTCATCTCCAAAGACACCTGCGCATCCATACAGGAGAAAAACCATTTCATTGCTCAGAATGTGGACAGAGCTTTACTAGACAGAGTCATCTCCAAATACACCAGCGCATTCACACAGGAGAGAAACCGTATCACTGCTCAGAGTGTGGGAAGAGTTTTAGAGAAAGTGGTACACTCAAGGCACACCAGCGCATTCACACAGGAGAGAAGCCGTATCAGTGCTTGGAGTGTGATATGAGTTTTAATAGACTGAATCATCTGCAAAGACACCTGCGCATTCATGCAGGAGCAAATTCATAATGCTGCTTTTACTGTGGGAGAGGCTTTAGGCCCTGGGTGCTCAATCCTTGTCCTGGAGGTCTACCACCGTGGAGAGTTCAGATCCAATACACATAGCTCTCATATTCAGATGCTCCTGAAGGCCTTCATTATTTGGATCAGGTGTGTTTGATCAGAGGTGGAAATAAGCTGTGCAGGGTGGTAGATCTCCAGGATGAGGATTGGGCACCCCTGCTTTATGCATGTGAGTGTAAAGACACCAAAATGCTTAAAGACATTTCGATATAATGTAAAACTTAAATGTACCATTTTTCAAGATACAAAGAACTTAAGGAGGATTTCCCCCACTTTTTAAATAACATTATAAACTAGAATGTTTATTGTTTTAACAAATTCTCTTGTACAGTACTATGTAAAACTCAAAGACCACTCTTTGCTCATTTCATTTCATTTCATTTCAAGTAAATATTATTTATTTTTCAGTGGCAGGGGAAAACAGAATACATATTTAACAGACAACTACACGAAATCCTTAACAACTAAATATCATTTTTTTGAGTATTTAGTATGTACACTACCTTTATTACAGCTTCCATTCTTTTATGGAGACTTGCTTTTAGATTTTCAAAGAAATCAGCAAGTATATTTTTCTACACCTTTGCAAGCGTAAAGTTTTCACATTTTCTGCTTCACAGTCAAAGAAATGCTAGTTGGTGTCCCACTTTCATCTGTACCTTTTTAATCATTTTTTATTTTCTTTTTGGAAACTCATGTTTTTTCCCTCTTTTTGACTATCCCCTTCCTTTTTTGGCGTTTTATGATTAATTTAAATCTAATCTGCATAGAAATATTTTCCAGAAATGTATAACTTGTAGAAAAGCTGTGTTGCATGTGAATTTTCAGCCTGCTTTGTCCACTTCACTTCATCATACTGGTCTTCATCTGGTGTCGTCAGGGGGAGAAGACAAGAAGAAAAATATCAATGACAGCAAGTTACTGAGTATAAGTGTTAGTAACCTCTCCCCAGTAGCCTCTGCATGTCTTTTCTACACAGTGTACAGTTGTACACATAAGAAGATCACAACCTGAATATCTCACATATACATACCGCATGTAATTATAATTATGATTCAAAACACTAGCAAAACATCTTGTTAGCCAGTGGAAAACTTACTCTGACTGTATCACCACAGTTGTGAGGACACACACAGCAACTGCAAACCTGCCATTAACTTTTACCACCTGTCCAATGATGTGTTCTAAAGGGGGACTTTTCAGCCATGTTATCTTACATTCATGGACTTAAATGGACTTGTTGAAAGATGGGTTTCGGGACACAACACTGTTAATACTTTGAGCTCCATATTCTTGAGGCATTGGATTTTTTAAAATTATATTTCAACAGATTTTAAACTCTGTTGTTCCTGCCGTAATAAATTTACGTTTCCACCCACATTTAGCTTAGATTCTCTCACAATTGTCTCCAGATGTGCCTCTTTACATGTGGTCACACCTGGTCCTGTGACACTATGTGTAATGTGGAAGCTTCGTTGGCAGAATTTAATTATTGATGTTCTTTCAGCCCAAGATGAAATATTTGTAATGCTATTGGCAAATAATTCAATGTTCAGTGTTGTTCTTGTATACTGGATCATTTCACATGTGATTTAAAGGGTTCCATCTACTCACAGTGGGTGATTTGACTGGTTGGCCTCCAATTTAGAAACCCAGCAATTAAAAATATTAAATATTTTAAAGAAATTCTTAAAAAGACTTAGAAATTGAGTGATTGTGCACACTGGTGTAGTATAGCAGGTCCTGTTTCATTATGTTTTATTGTATTTTTTCTGTTATTAATGATGTTAGATTTGCTGCGATTGATCATATCACTGTTTTAACAGAACCTTGTATCTCTGAGGATTTAATTTTACTGCAGAAGGAAAAAACATTTGTTAAATTGTAATGGAAGTTAATCTAATTAAAACAAGTAATTTTCTATTTGTCTATTCATTATGAAGTTTTAACACAATGTAAACGGTAACTGGAGTTTTCAAAATATTAAAAAGTTTTAAAATTACAGTATTTTAAAGAGATGGCGTTTCCGCAACAACAATATTTTCTTAAGTATTCAGTTAAACTCATTTAATCATATTCTTAATCAAATACATTTATTATAGTTAAATATAGTTTGTAGTAAGTAACCAATCTACTGTGTTTTAAGCGCAGACACCTGTTTAATAGCCTCCAAGTTGATCTCAGACTGGTTGTCAGTCTCGTCAGTTCCTATACACTAGACGACGATTGGCCAAAAAGCAATCAAGTGATGGTTCAAACTACTATGAAATGAGTTGATTTTAGGGACGAGTTAGCAAGTGCAGGAGTTGAGAAGCTCTGCTCATTGGTGAAGGACAACAGTGGTCTGTGAGAGACCACTGTGCCCAAGCTGATGACCTTCCTTTCTAGGCCACTTACAGATAAGCCATGGGTTTTTCTATTTTCAACATTTATTTGCTTAGAGTATTTAACCAATGATTCTCTTGTGTGGTTTATCAGCTTTCTCCAGCATTGCAAAAACTTTTGTCTGAAAAGATATTTGAATAAATCTTTTTGACTGATTAATGTTTTTTGGCCCCAACAAGTTTCTTACTGAACAGACTAAGTGTGGCATAATATAAGTACAATGCTTTCTAAGTAGTGTGTATGTATGTGTGTATGTGGCCAAAAAGGTTAGGTAGCCAGTGTGTCCAGCTGAAGGATAGAGAAGGTGACCATGTATACGTTGCCTCAGTACAATTACATCTGTAATTTATGCAGAGATTTCTTATCTCTAGCATTTTTAAAGCACACAGCTTTGGAGAAATTTTCATAAATGTAAATGTTGGTGCTTTTGAGTGCATTACACTATTTGAGGATGTCCTGTTTGTCTTCGTCATGCAAAAACTTGTCATGGAAAAAGAACATTCATTCTTGGTCAAGAAGTGTCAAACATACCTATGTGCTGTCCCCTTTCATGTTTCAGTATGATCAGTGAGTGGCCTTTTTTATGTCAGTTGCAGACTCCTGCAAAGGTTTTGATTTATAGTTTTTCCCAGTAGCTTGAACACTCATTCATTCAGAAGCTATATTCTCCAAACAGTTAACACAAGATACCAAACACATTTGAAAACTGGTCTGGTCCCCACAACACAACACACCATATATTAAAATATGCACAAGGCTTCCTTCATTAAGAGCTTATATTGATTTATTTTCTTCAGAGCAACGGTAATGTGTTTTTAAAAAAAAAAAAAGACATAGAAACCCAATTTCCAGTAAGGTTGGGACATTCTGTAAAATGCAATAAAAACAAGAATCTGAGATTTGTTAATTCTCTTAAACCTTTTATTTAACTAACAAAAATACAAAGAAATTATTTATAATATTTTGGCTGACCATCTTAATTGTATCTTTGTTACACTGTTTTGAAACATTCCATAATAAGCAGGTGAATTGGTATCATTTGAGGGTATCATAATTGGGCTATAAAAGGAGCAAGCCCCAAAGGCTCAGTCTTTGCAATCAAAGATGGGTTGTGGCTCACCACTTTGTGCCAAATTTTGAGAGATGCCAACCAGTTCAAAAAGAACATTTTGCAATGCAAGATTGCGAAGAATTTAGGTCTTTCACTATCTACCACACATAATATTGTGAAAAGATTCAGAGAATCCAGAGAAGTCTCATTCTGTGTATGTAGAAACACTGCTGAGTTCTCTGGGCCCAGTCTCGTCTCCGATGGTTAAAAACACAGTGGAAATGTGTGATAAGATGAATCCACATTTCAGCTTGTTTTTGGGAAAAGATCATTCAGATTGCAAAAGATGCAAAAGCCAGCATCTGTCATGGTATGGGGTGCATCAGTGCCCACATCATGACTGATTTGCATATGTGGGAAGGTACCATTGACAGAGATGTGTTTCCCAGTAACTCCATGGTTATTTCAGCAAGACAATACCAGGCCTCATTCTGTGTGCTACAACACCGTGGCTTTGTAGATACAGAATGTGTCTGCTTGACTTGCCTGCCTGCAGTCCAGTTCTGTCTCATGTTGAAAATGTATGCCGCATCTTGAAGAGTCTAATTTTTAGAAAAGCATTTTTTAGTAAAAATACAATTTGCATGCATATATAGTAATCTTTTAGTCATTCGTCATATCCTAACACCAAAGTCCTGCAAATTTAACAATAATGTGGGTGTGATTTTCAGATCGTCATGTATCACATATAACATTTTGACTCCTGAGGAGAATGTTCAGTTTGATTGTCTCCCAAAAGAGTTTTGTAATGCTGAGATTAATAACTGGCTCATCACATTGATTTAACAGTTTACTCTGTTTTTAGCAGGAACATCAGTGTCTGTACAGAAGATTTGTTACACACTGTGTAGGAAACAGAGGTTTTCACTGCTTTATTTGTTTATTTATTTATGTATTAATAATTTATTTATTGAAAATGGGATGTATAGGGTAGTCGTGTGCTTCTGAAGTCTTAATCTGCACTCCAGCTCAAAAGGTGGCGCTAATGCTCTTTGCCCTGCCCAGCCAACCACCATTCACAAAGAATAACAAAGGATTTGCTGTTCTGTTGAAGGTAAAGCTTTGGGTAATGCTTTTTACCCTGTTTACTCTGTTTTAAAATCACTCTTACAGAGTAATGTTTGCCTCTGAAAAGAAAGATGTAAAATATGTGAACTGTGTGAGCTCACACAGAATCAGCCTCTGTCCAGATTGAGCTGAGGAGGCTAATGTTAGCTCTTAGCTCTGTGTTTTTGGGAGGTAATGTTTTTTCTGTATGGGTTAAAGAGCATCAGAGGTGGGTAAGAATGACCTTTTTCATTCTTTTCATTCTTAGCTCCTTTTTTAGCTTTGACTTCATTCTGTTGTGTTGGTTCAGCTCCTGAACTCTTTTATGGCTTCTCACAACTCTGACTTTGGTGATTTACCCTTTTATTTTAGACCATAAAGCTCCAACAAGGAGAGAGGACAAACAGTCACAAACTTCAGTTCCTAATAGATAAATGCTGGCTGGACTAGTTGTGCTTGGTGCTGCTTGTATGTTTACAGAAGTTGTTTTTACTGCTATTACTGTTTTTGTTAGGCTGTGTTTACTTCTTGATGGGGGTGATAGTTTGGGTGGGTGAGGGTTGCTGGTTAAGTTTGGGTGGGGAAGGTGCTAGTTAAGTTTTTTGATTTGATTTGTTTGTATTTTGAAGATGGTGGTCGGTTCCCTATGTAGCTAACGTCTGCTTGAAAACTCCTTATTGTCGCTTGATGACTCCATATACTAATTACCATATTCATGATGTCATTAAGTCATGTTTGCATTCTGTCTAGTGTCAGCTCTTTACATCTGGTTGCTTCTCTTGTATTGTATTTTAATACAGCCAAGCTCCCAATAAAGCTGTTCTCGTTTACATGTTTTTCTGCTTCTGTTGAAAGACAATGGGACGAGTATGAAATACTGACTGAAATGCAGCCTATTAAGACTACAGGTTAAGCAGCTGTCACTTTTAAGCCATTTGCAAGCTGCTGCTCTGCACTACTAAAATTCAGATTTTATAACCGTGACATCATCTGAAATAATCACCATATACATACTTTGAAGCTAACAACTGTGCTGTGATTTTGGTCACGTTTACATGCCAAGTGATCACTCAGAGAAAAAGTTAGAAGCAACCGAATATTTATCTTATTTGTTTGCTCACGCTAAACCCCTGTGTGATGATGTATGGAAGACTGTTTTTGCCCCTGGTGAAAGTCTAAATAATGCTTTTCATAATTATGACTTAGTATCTCACAAATATAACATTGCATCTCATTATTATGACTTGCAATCTCATAATAATGGATTCTATAATGAGTTTCTTATAATTATGACTTAATATTTCATAATAATTACTAATCAAGAATTTATTATGAGAAAGTAAATCAAGTTAGAATTATAAGAAATTGTCAGTTATAATATTAAATCTCATAAAGATGAGATACTAAGTCATAATGGCGATGCTAAGTCATTATTATGAGAGGTCATAATTGTGAAATTAAGGTTTATTTTTGAGATATTATCATTTTAATAATGCTTCATTTTTGTCTGTGAAGGTTCTATCGTGTAAACCCAGTGTGACACTTTTTTCCATTTGACCACTTAATTTGTGAACAGGTTATGCGTTTGTCATTGTTTTATTACATTTGACACTGAATTTTCCGTTTTCCTATTTTTTTTTTCCAGGAGAGAATGGCCTCTGAGTCCCCTCCAGCTCCTAGTGTCCACTTTCCTACAGTATTAACTGGCTTCCACAACCACCTCAAGAAATCACCAAGCCACCAAGAAGAAGGCATCACAATGTTGAAGCCAGAAGAGATTAAATGTGAGGATGTGGTGTCTGAAATCTCCAGTACTCAAACATCTTCTGCTACACTCTGCACCAACCCATCACCCAGCATCACACATGATGAGGTGATTATTCCTGCAGATCTTATTATTTATTATATTAATGTGTTATTGGTAAAAAGGCAGAGCCCCAAATTATGAAATAATTTTTGAATTTATTTTTGAGTCTCTTAAAGCTGCACTACGTAAGACCTCTCTGGTAGAAGAGATGTGTAATTGCATGCAATTGTTTTGTAGCATTGGTTGAGCCTCGGTTGTGCTTTTTTTTTTGTTAGAGGTTCCCAATCTCTCTGCTCACATTAACATACTCTGTTCATTCTAACATACACTGTACATGCAAAAGAACACCTTTTAGAAGAACACAACTGCACACAATTAGTCATTAGACAAAAAAAGTCTTGAAGAACGCAGACAACCCTCACAGAGTACTTATAGCTTGCTGTTCCACATCTCTTGTGAATGGCTTTGGCCAATCTGAACTCTCTATAGATCGGTGGCTAAGAAGAGGCCAACCAGATCTTTGTTCCCTTCTAAAACTCCAGGTGCCTGACAAAAGATGTTTAAAAACTGAACATGTGGAGAAGACTAAGCACACACACACATTGTGCTTTGTCTCTGCTATGTCTTATCAAGTGAAAATATGTTAAATCTTTTACTCAATATACCTAATATTTCTCATTTTGAGACTGTTGTGCGCTTACTAATAAAGGCACTGAATTAGAGCAACAAGTTCCAAGATCTTTTGTGATAATGATTTTATGTTGTCAGCTTTTTATGTCAGAGCTAGAATGTCAAACTCTTCCCCCCCTTTGGAACACATGGTGGGGGCCATTATAATTTTCCTTTTTAACATGTGCAAGATATTCATGCTCAGTGTAAAATACTCAATGTTTCCAGGGTCTTTGCAACACAGAAAACATATTATCTATTACACATTTCAAAAGCCACTACTATTAAAGTAAATGAATCTTAGGTAAGTGTTGATGTTCCCAGTATAGGTTAAGGATCTCTCAAACAATACTGATCAGACTGATAATTAGATATAATTATTATAATAATCCTTAATATTTTTCTGTAAAATGGTAAACCCCTGACAAAGCTTGACACAGCTTTTTCCATTTGACTGCTGTGATTTCTGACCAGTGAAGGGATATAGACTCCCGTAATCCACTTTGAATCTTTTTTAATGTAGAGTATTTGCTTAAGAATATGTTCCTAGAAATAATAGTTCTTTGGCGTTTGTGTCTCTGTGAGCTTTATGTTCCTTGAGAAGAACACTCTGACATGAGATAAGAGCTTGTTATGCCCATCTATGAGCTATTTTAGCAGATGTACTGGAACCACTCAGGGTCATGAAGTGAATCACAAATCACGTATTTGCTTAAGTTTGATTTACACGTAAAATGATTTCAAACTTCACATTTACATGAGAGTGTGCTATAACAAAAAATTACACTTTGCAAAGAGAAATATGTTTATAAATTAGAAAAATAAGAGTTAATTAATAAAAACCAACAGAACCACTAAGAATGTTGGAAGGCTTCATCAGAAAGATTCATCAGTCTGTAGGACTTATCCAAATAAACTGATCTTAACTAGAGCTACCTTAGTAACTAAGAACTATACAAGAAATATTCAATTATAAAGTTTTACCTGGATAAATACATGCATAACTGGGTAAAAAGTGATCATTGGGGAACCTTCAAGGCCTGACTGAGAGCGACTCTTGCTGACATCTTTAAGAAGGACTCTATCCTTTATCTCACCAATGACTCTGTTCAATTTGTTCCTGAGTCCATCCAAGTCTGCATTTTAGCAATTCTGATTTGTAACCATGAATCAGCAATTGTGCATGTAAATTGTCTATTTTGCATATAATTTGCATAAAGCTATAACTGCTTTGATCAAATCTATGTATGTTAGATGGGGATGACACCTGTGGGTGCTCTCACCCCCACCATTCACTCTTTCTAAATTTTTAGCTTAATTTTATGCTGTGATATATTACCCAACACCAGGTTATGCGGTTGTCAGTGCTTTATTACATTTGACACTGAATTTTACATTTTCCTATTTTTTCCAGGAGAAAATGGCCTCCTGTTCTGAGACCTCTCCGGCTCCTACTGTCCACTTACCTGCAGTTCTAATTTACTTCAACAACCACATCAAAAAACCACCAAACTACCAAGAAGAACACACCACAGTGTTGAAGCCAGAACAGATTAAAAGTGAGGATGTGGTGTCTGAAATCTCCAGTACATCTAGTACACTCGGCACCAACCCAGTATCCAGAGGAACTCATGATGAGGTGATTTTTCCTGCAAAACCTGTTTACTTATCACTTATTATAATATTATATTGATAGACAGGCAGAGCCTCAAAGTGTGTGAAATAAAGTTTGAGTTAAAGCAGGAAACTTCAGCAGAACCAAGGTGATGCCCTTGGCCCTATGAAATTGACAGAATTGTTTGTGGCAAATCATAGGCATATGACTTATATATAATATAACCCCATTTCTGAATTTCAGCTACTTCTGCATATTGCGTATTTCCCGTCACTCTCTTTGCCAGTTGCTGTAAGGAAATTTGAAAAAATGTAATCTCCCACCTTAGTAGAATTTAAACTTTATTCTTGCATAAAATCACATCTGAAAACAGTATTAAATGTTGTTTACTTCCATTTTAGAACAAGTATTTGTCTCAGTTTGAAAGTCTTGCTGGTTAAATTCTGAGGTTACAGAAAACCTGAAATGATCAAAGGTGGTCGATATTGAGGGAAGCCCATAATTCTAACAGTATTTGTGTCAAAGTAAACAAAATTACTGGAAAAATATCTTCTTTAAAAGTTAAAGGAATTTTGGACATGACACACGTATCTCCTGAAAAACATTAATTTGGGTTAGTAAAGTGCTTTCATTTATTTAGTTAGCTTAGATTACTGAATTTTTTGTTTGTTTGTTTGTTTGTTTTGAGCTTGCCAATAGCTGGCATGTTTATGCTATAGGTATTTTTAAGCTGAGATTAGTATTTGCTCTCCATGGGATTCTAGATAATGTGGGTGCTTGCGGGTCAAAGCCTTTGCCAAATCCCAAAGCCAAAAGAAAGGTAGATAGAGTGGTGAAAACTGCCAAGAGCAAGGACAAACCTCAAAGAGTATTATTAGCTTACTGTCCCACATCTCTTGTGAAAGGCTACAGCCAATCTGTACTCTATGAGACGGTTGCTAAGATGCCAACTAATTCTTTGTTCCCTTGTGAAAAGGAGACGTTTAAAGACTGAACATGTGGAGAAAACTAAGTACGCACATTGCTTGCGATAATCTCTGATGCCACTGAAGACTAGTAATGTGGTCTAGGTTGCGGACTAATCCACTAAAGGCACTGGTAATACAACAACAACAAGCTCAAAGATCTTTGATTTCTGTGGACCGTCATAACAGCTATGAAAGCTTACCTGCCATCATTACATCAATAGTGCTAACTATGGATTAAGCATAACACATTTGTATTTGTGTAGTTGTTGAACTGATTGAAGTAAATAATTTCTAGTCTCAGAGTGTACCAGAACCTACCAGAATTTTCTTGTTAATCACTTACATTTTCATCTAGGAGTGATGCAGCTGGACCCCGCTACATGGGGTTGGTTTTTTCACTGCTAATTAATTTTCATGTCTGCAGATGTTTGCCCCCACTAACACAGACCTCAAGCCTAAAGGGAATAATGAGTAATACCAACAAATCACAACTATGCTCCTTAGCAGAAGTTTGTGACTAATCTCTAATAAAGAACATCTACCCCTATTGGAAAAACCTCCTCATCAAAGTACCCTTTCAAAGCACATCCAGTATAATACCTGAACAAGAACCTCACCTGTTAAGAAGCACTATATCTTATGAAGGATTTTTATTTACCTGTCACCCTCAGACTTGCCTAAAGCTTCATGAGTGTGTGTATGGCTGTGATTGTTAAAAGGAAAACAGGTGTATGTCTGTCCATGCTCTGACATAGGTTATCTCCAGGAGTGGACCACACCAGGGACATTTTTTGGTCAGCCAGCTAAAGTTTCTTGCTCCTACAGTGGTTCTTTTAAATTATTAGTAAGACTGGCTCTTGAGCAAACAAAAGCTGGGCACTAGAGTTCTCTCCATGAGGGGTCTTGTCACACTATAAGTTAGTAACATGTAGCTCTATGAGTCTTTCTACTCCAGACAGTGCAGACTACTCTTCAAAATCAAATCAAATACCTAGTGTGTCTATCTCAGCAGTAGAACCTGTAAGCAACTTGATAAGGTAAGTTCTTAGAGACCTTGAAATGGATGTTCCCACTAGGATGTGTGTTCAAGCCCCTGATGTAAATGTTCCTCTTCAAAAAAGGTTTAGCTATTCAAGCTCTGACATAATAAGAACCTGAAAAGATCTTGTTGCTGAAATACAGTGTCTTTAGTTGATCAGTAAGCAACCCAGACCACATTGCTACTCTTGAGCTGCAACAGGGATTTTGCTTTGTATTGCATGCAGTGTGTGTGTGTCTTGGTCGTCTCTTATGTTCAGTCTTCAGTCAAACATCTTTTGTTGGGCAGGTGGTGTTACAAAATGGAACGACACCAGTAGTTTTTTCACAGCGATCGACGCTGCGAGCAGAGCTAGTGGAGGACGTAAACAAAGCTGGGCTTCTTTGGACACCCTAGCTATTTTTAGCCAACTTTCGCTCGCTCAACAACAAAATGGATTTGCTCAGGCTCAGAGTGACTGCACAACGTGAGATGCAGGAATGCTGCTTTTTAATTCTGTCTGAAACATGGCTTCACAGCACCATCCCCAACTGGACACTTGACGGCCTAACCTGCTTCAGTGCAGACAGAAACCTTTCATCTGGGAAAACCAGAGGAGGCAGACTGTGCATCTACGTGAATAAAATTTGGTGATTGAACGCTTCTTTTTAGCTACCGTTCTGTAGCAGTTGAATAACAATAATCAATGTTATTTACCACTGTTATTTACCAAGAAAACTGTTATTTACCAAGAAAACTCTCTACCATCTTTATCCTTGAAGGACAAGTTGGGGTCACTCTGTGATGCTGTCACCTCAATTCAAAACACCCTAAGAGTTTCATTATTGTCACGGGTGACACCGACGTTAATTTGAGGAACATTTTCCAAAAATTTTACCAGCATGTTTCCATCCCAACAAGGGAACAGAATACACTGGACCAAACAGCTTCTATGAAGCATTTTGAAGCATCCAACACTGAGGTAGCAGTGAGGATCTTCCCTCCCCAAGGGACCAGGTGCTGTCTTGTGAATACAGCTGATGTGAGGAGAACCCTGCTGAGGTGAACCCACATAAAGCTGCAGGCCCTTATAACATTCCTGAGCATGTGCTCAAGGAATGTGCCCACCAGCTTGCTGCTGTCTTCACAGACATTTTCTGCATCTCCCTGGAGCAGGCTGCTATCCCAACAAGCTTCAAACAAGCCACCATCATTCCAGCGCCAAAAAGGTCTTCTGCCACCAGCCTTAATGTCTACAGTTTGGTTGCTCTAACCGTAATTGTCGTGAAGTGCTTGAAGCACCTGGTTATGACTCACATTAAGCATTCCAATCCATCAACACTGGAGCCCCATCAATATGCCTACAGGTGAAACTGCTCCACTAAGGATGCCGTATCCACAGTCATCCATCTGGTCTTATCACACTTCGACAACAAGGACACTTATGTTAGAATGCTGTTTTTGGACTTCAGCTTAGCATTCATCATCATCATACCCAAGAAGTTAGTCAGCAAACTCTACTCACTTGGACTCAACTCATTTCTCTGTAACAGGATTCTAGACTTTTTGAGTAACAGACCTCAGACAGGATCAGGATCAGTCATGATCCAGAACAGATTATTCGATTCCATCAATCTGAACACCGGAGCCCCCCAGCGCTGTGCAGTGAATCCTCTGCTGTACATCCTGCTCACTCATGACTACATTGCCATGAAACATCAGAGGAATCACATGCTGAACTTTGCTGATAATTCTACAGTTGTAGGGCTCATCTCCAACAATGATAAGACAGCCTACAGAGAGAAAGCGAGGCAGCTGGAGTTCTGGTGCACAGGCAGCAATCTCTTTGTGAATGTGGCCAAGACAAAAGGGATGTCTGTAGATTTCAGAAGGTCACAGATGACACACACCCCTCTGCATGTCAACGGAACAGTGGTGGAGACAGTTCACAACTTCAAGCTCCTGGGACTGCATATCACTGTAAATCTCTGCTGTTCCCTGCAAATCTTTTCCTCAGTGAAGATGGCACAACAGCACCTCTACTTGCTAAGGCGACTAAAGAGGGCTGGCCTGTGAACACCCATCCTTGATGCTTATACAAAAGCATCATAGAGAGCACCCTCACCTGCAGCATCGCTGTCTGGTGTGGAATCTGCTCCATCTCAGACAGAAAAGCACTGCAGTGGGTAGTGCAGTCCAGTCCATCAAAGGGTCAAGCTTCCCTGCTATCAAGGGCATCTACACCAAACGGTGTAAAAGGATCAGGAAGGATCCCTCTCATCCATCACACAGGCTGTTTACACCACACCCATCTGGAAGAAGACTACAGAGCATCAGGGCCAAGTCCTCCAGACTCAAGAACAGTTTCTTCCCACAGGCAGTCAGACTGCTGAACGGATCTGTCTAATGGACCTTTATTCTCATTGAACTACTACCTGAGCCATACTACTCACCTTATCTGCCGCACTTGAACTTCTGCACTCGTAACTACAGGTCTAGTTATTGTATATTTAGAGAGGAATTTATTGTATAGTGTTGTAAAGTTTGTATTTATTGTACTTATTGTCTGCTTCTGTTCTGTGTTCAATGTACCACTGTGTCCTGGAGAAACTACATTAGCCATTTTCTCATAGAATTAAGATTGGTTGCAGTCTTCACAAGAGATATGGAACAGTAAGCTAACAGTACTATTTGATGGTTGCCTGCACTTTTGACAGTCCTCACCTCTGTCTTCTTTTTTCTTGGCTTGGGGTAACATGGTGCATAAAGATTGGCAAAGGATTTGAATTACAAGCAACCATATTATTGAGTATCCTAAGACGAGCAAATACAAATTTCAGTTCAAAAAGGTAAATGCTTTTGATTTGCTGCAAACAAGTCTGAGAATTCCATTGGGCCAAGGGCATCAACCGGGTTTTATTAACTTGCGTGCCACACAAACTGTACTGCTGTTGGGCCACATTTCTCAATGTTCTTGGTCATTTTGGCTAATAATGATGGCATACATAGTTGCTAGAATGACTTGTAAATTGTGTGTCTTTTGAAAGAACTGTTCTTCTAAAAGGTGCTTTTCTTTTGCATGTATGGTCTATGTTAATGTGCTAGCTTTTGAATGTTTGCCCATCCTTGATCACAGTGAAGTATAACTTTCCTTTTTCACATGTGCAAGATAGGATGAACATGCTCAGTGTAAAATACCCAACAATTCAATGCTATTAGTAACTCAGACAGTGTATTATGTATTCCACATTTCAAAAGCCACTACTGTTTAATTAAATTATTTGCGTAGGTATTGGCCTGATAGTTTTAGGGACTCTCAAATACTACTGAACTAAAACTGCTGAACAGATAATTAGGTTTGATTATAATAATATAATATTAATGTTCATATTTGCCTGCATAAATTCTGTCTGATAGACCCCACAGCTTGACACAACTTTTTCCATTTGACTACTTTGATTTCTGACCAGGTTAGGCTTTTTTATGTTGAATTTTACATTTTCCTATTTTTCCAGGAACAAATGGGCTCATCTTCTCCTGCTCCTAGTGTCCAGATTCCAGCAGTTCTAATTTACTTCCAAAACCACAGCAACAAACCACCAAGCCATCAAGAAGAGTGCAAGACAGTTATAAAGCCAGAAGAGATTAAAAGTGAGGATGTGGTGTCTGAAATCTCCAGTACTCAAATATCATCTGCTACACCTTGCATCAACCCATCACCCAGACAAACACAAAAAAATACAGACAAAGGATTAATTCACCAGTGCTCAGAGTGTGAAAGGAGTTTTACTACACCAAGTCATCTCCAAATGCACCAGCGCATTCACACAGAAGAGAAACCGTATCAGTGCTTATGGTGTGAGAAGAGGTTTACTAAACCAAACAATCTACAACAACACCAGCGCATTCACACTGGAGAGAAACCATTTCAGTGCTTAGACTGCGGACAGAATTTTAGTAGACAGAGTCACCTAAAAAGACACCAGCACATTCACACAGGAGAGAAACCCTCACACTGCTCAGAGTGTGGACAGAGTTTTACTTGTCATAGTGATCTCCGAAGACATCAGCGCATTCATGCAAGAAAGAGACCATACCCCTGCTCAGAATGTGGACACAGTTTTACCAGACAGAATGATCTCTACAGACACCAGCGCTTTCACACAGAAAAAAAACATATCACTGCTTAGTGTGGACAGAGTTTTAGAGAGAGTGGAACCCTCAAGGTACATGTCAGAAAAAATGTATGACTGTTTAGAGCAGTGGTCTCCAACCCTGGTCCTGGAGAGCTACGTTTCTGCAGTCTGCTTTAGACTTTAATGATTGGCTGCATCAGATAGATGAGTGTTAGGTATGGGAAGGAAACTATACTCTGCTGGAAATAGTGCTCCAGGACTGGGGTTGGAGGCCAGCGTCCGAAGAGCTTTAGAAATGGAGGTATTCTCAAAACACACCAGCGCGTTCACACAGGAGAGAAACCGCATCGGTGCATGGAGTGTGATGAGAATTTCAGTGAGCTGAATCATTTTGAAAGATGTCTTTGCATTCATGCAGAAGAAAAATCACAACACTATGTATGCTGTGGGAGGAACTTCAGGCATTTAAATTTAAATATGCACAAATGCTTTAAAAGAATACAATGTAGTATAAAATTTAAATTTAAGAAAACAATGAAGACTTTTTTCCATTTTTATATTATACAGCATGCAACTTAACAACTTAAAATGGCCATTAGGTAAAAATTATTCAGTTTGCAGTGGTAGAGAGAAAAAAATATTTACAGAAAACTACACAAAAGTAGTTTTTCAGTATTTACTGTGTCCATTTTTACTTTTATTACAGCTTCCGTTCTTTTCAGGAGGCTCATTTTTAGTTTCTCAAAGAAATCAGGAGATATATTTTTCCACACCTCCCAAATTCAATCTGTGAGCTTGGTAGCATTTTCTGCTTCTCAATCCAAATAATCCCAAACATATTAATTGATTTTAAGGTCTGGAGCAAGAGTGGAGCTTGACTTTTCTTCTGTCTCTCTCATTAATTCTTTAAGAAGTACTATTTATCCAATGATGATGGTGTCGGAGAAAGAAATAGGAGACACTTCATTCAATCAGAAGCATGCATTTACTGGAAGTCCCGTCCCTCCGACCAGTTTGAACCATGGATGTTCTGCCCCTGGATATCACACCTTCCTACCACTCAAATGTTTTTTTTCTGGAAACCCTGCTCTTTCTTTCATTAGCCATTTTTTTGGAAAGCACAAACCTTCAGCCGTTTTTAACCAGTCATTTTGAACAGATAATAACTTACTCAACCACATCCTCAACTGTTTTTTATTTATATATTTTTTCATCTCTGTAAAACCCTGCCCCATAACACTTTTTGTTAGTCATTTTGAGTTGCTACTACACCAGCCTCGAAATAAAATTTCTTGCCAAATTTTAAAGGATGCTGACCAATCAGGTTGTTGTATTCAGCCCTATAGTATGATTAAACTCTGCCCATTGATCCATGATTCTTTGTGCAAAAGTATTTGTGTTATTGTTTCAAGAGGATCTAAGAAGCTAAAGCGAACATCCTGGATGCACTAAATAAGCCAGTGACATGTCTAGGACAACTTTGCGACTCATTGAGTCAGACAAGTATGTGTGGTGACTATCGAACAGGAGCTACAATAGGAACCTTTTTGAGGAAGAAAAAGACATCAAAACCATCTTCAGCAGCCAGCCAGTGTTGGAGGGATATCATAGACAAATTCATCCTGCATCAGAATGATTAGTGCAGTTTCAAGAAATACTGCGCTGAATTATACTATTATATGAACTACAGATGCATAGAATGTGAACCTAATTACAAGATCTTCATAGTACCAATGGAAACCTTTAGGTCATCAGATTTTTTTTGTTGGATTTTTTTTAGATGAATAACAATGTAAATCTATTTCACATAATTAGATTTCTGAGTTTGTAACAATAAAACCTGTCAAATGAGTCAAGGGTATTACGATAATACAGAACAACTGGTTCAGGAAATGGGTTATTATTAAATTCCATTGAAATAAAAATGAAGAGATTAATCATTACAATGTGTCATAATTTATTAATATTTATGTCATCATTTATTAAATAATTTATTTAACCAGTTCTAAGGGTTGAAACTAGGAGATGTAAAAACAGCTTAAGAGTATCAAGGCTAGAGAAAGTTAGTACTTTTAGGGGTGGAAGCAGAGGAGTCAACGTTAGGGAGAATACAAGGTTTTAGATTTTTTAATGTCCAATATTTTATGTCAAACCCTGACGTTAAACAATAGTTGAAAAGGGAATGTTTAACTTTGCTACAGTTTGTAACATTTCAGACCACCATAGGGGTCTTCGGTCATCAGATTTTTGCCGGTGCCGTGAGATTTTTAACCAAGTCCAGCATGTGTGATTCTTTAGTCATTTTCTCTTAAAAAAAAAAAAAATTGATGTTTTCTCCATGATATAAGAAGCATTTTTTTGGTTCTGGATGGAACATTACCAATAAATAAGCTAAAAAGAAAGCTAAAAATAAACTAAAAGGAAAGAATTCAACAGAGCTCGAGATAAAACAAGGGTAAACATTGGAGCAGCTTTTTGACAGGTGTGAGGGAACTATGGGACCTGAAGGGCTTCAAATCTGATGTCGAGTCAGTCTCATTTGAAAGGTAATTAACCCTGCTTGGTTATGTTTCATTTGATTGTTAAAAAAAGAAGGCTCCAAAAGTAATCCATATCTTTTAGCCTTCTTTGGTTACCAGCATACATGTAACTGAGAGGGAATGAAATTGTAGACAAGGTTTGGCAGTTCCACCAAGTAAGGCAGAGGCAAAAGTTTTGATTAAAAGTTAAACAATAAAAAAATACATAAAAAATAAAAACTCCAGCAGCACTGCTGTGTCTGATCCACTCAGACCAGCACAACACACACTAACACACCACCACCACGTCAGTGTTACTGCTGAGAATGATCCACCACCCAAACTACCTGCTCTGTGATGGTCCATGGGGGTCCTGACCACTGAAGAACAGGGTAAAAGGGGGCTAACAAAGTATGCAGAGAAACAGATGGACTACAGTCTGTAACTGTAGAACTACAAAGGGCACCTATATAGTAAGTGGATCTGATAAAATGGACAATGAGTGTAGAAACAAGGAGGTGCTCATAATGTTATGCCTGATCGGTGTGTGTGCAAACATTGTGGCAGAATGATTGAGAACATGAACATCAGGGTAGACATCTATATACAATTCAACAACAGATTGGCTTAGCTGTAACCAGGAGATATGATGGGAGGCAAGAGATTGTTATTACATAATTTCAAATAGAGCATGCAGTGCTAAATTCCTCACTGCACTTAATAATGAAATATGAATCAGGGTTTTGCCAAAATTGTCAAAATAGAGAAATGGTTGAAGATATTTTGGTTCACTGTGAGATCAAGGATGTTACAAGGATTTCTCTCTGAAGAGCTTACTTGAATATGGGTCAGAGATGCGCAGGGTGCACAAACAGGTTTTGTCAGTTTTTTGAGGTCCACTGAGGTTTATGATTTTACCCTATTTCTGGGGTTTAAGATTGCATATATATGCACAGGATGGTCATGTGCTTCTGAAGTCTCCCTCCACACTCCAGCTCAGTAGATGGCAGTAATGTACCTCTTGGGCCACCAGCTGCCATTCACACAGAAGAAGAAGAAGAAGAAGAAGAAGAAGAAGAAGAAGAAGAAGAATTCAGCAGTCTATTGTTTTTATAGAGAAAAATGTTGCTCTGTTAAAGGTAAAGAGCTGTTTGATATTACTTTATGCTATTTACTCTGTATTTTTAACACACTCTCACAGAGATGGGTAGAGAAATGTTTGCATGTGATAAGAAAGATGCAAAATATGTGAATTTTGTAAGCTAACACAGAAGCAGCCTTAGTCACACTTATTATGGCAGTTATTTGTTAAAATAATTCCTAACTTCTTTTTTGGCTTTGACTTCATTCTGTCATGTTGGTTCAGCTCCTGGGCTGCTTTACTGTTTCTCACACCTCTCACTTTGTAGGTTTAGCATTTTACTTTAGGCCAAAATGATCCAACAAGTAGAGAAGAACAGAATTACAAACTTCAGTTCCTGTGCTAATGGATATGTGCTGGCTGGACTACTTTTGCTTGTTCCTTCTTCTGCTCTATGGTTACTTCCTAATGGGGAATGCTAGTTAAGCTTGGGTGGGAGAGCGTTGCTGGTTAAGTTTGCATGGCTCAGTAATGCTAGTAAGACTTGGGTGGGGGTTGCTGGTTAAGTGTGGGTGGATGAGGGATGCTAGTTGTGTTTTTTGTTTTTTGAGGGTGGTGCGGGTGTCCCATGAACATCCATGGAAAGAAGCTAAATCCTGCTCAGAAAGTCACTAAATGTGGCTAGATAATGCCCTGTGCTAATTGGCGTATTTGTGACATCATCACATCATATTTGCATTCTGCCAAGTTTACCTCCTGCTGCTTCTCTCCTACTCTGTGTTCATACACACTGTATTTTCATACAGCCGAGTTCCCACTAACGCTGTTCTTATTTACATATTCTTTTGTTGTCAGGTAAGTATGAAATAATCACTGAAATGGAGCCCATTAAGACTACATGTTAACCAGTAGTCATTTCTGAGCTGTTTCCAAGCTGCTGCTGTGCATTGCTAAAATCCTGATGTTATAATCACAATATTGACAAAATAACCATACACATAGTTTAAAGACAACATCTGTGCTGTGATTTTATTTACATGTGAAATTATCACTCAGAGCGAAAGTTAAAGGCAACAGAATATTCTTTTTTTTTCTTACACTAAACCCTTGTGTGTTAGTGTATGGAAGCCTGTTTTTGCCACTGGCGAAAAATATATAGCCATTTAGTAAGTCATATTAATGAGAGTTTTCCAAAATTGCAATTCATATCTCATAATTATGGCATATCATCTCATTATCGTGACTTGCTATCTCATAAGAATGACAACAGCGTCCTCGATTCTCATTATTATTTACTTAGTCAACAATTATTGAGATATTGTCTCATAATACTGAGAATTTTCTCAACATGGTATGGTAAACTATTTAATTATGAAAGACTAAGTTGTTATTATAAGAATATGCTGTAATTGTAAGCAATAATTATGACGCAAGTTATTGTTGTCAGATAGTAAGACATATGTCAAAATAATGAGATACAAAATCGTTATAATAATGCTTCATCTTTGTAAACGTTTGTCTAGTGAACCACAGCTTGAGGCAGCTTTTTCCACTTGATTGGTTTCTGACCATGTTATAGATTTATCATTGTTTTATTACGTTTGACATTGAATTTTACATTTCTGTAATTTTTTTTTCCAGGAGAGAATGGCCTTCTGTTCTGAGTCCTCTCCTGCTCCTAGTGTCCACTTTCCAACAGTTCACAACCACATCAAGAAACCACCAAGCCATCAAGGGGATTGCATCACATTGTTGAAGCCAGAAGAGATTAAATGTGAGGATGTGGTGTCTGAAATCTCCAATACTCAAACATCTTCTGCAACACTCTGCACCAACCCATCACCCAGCATCACACATGATGAGGTGATTTTTTTCTGCAGAACTTATTTGCTGTTGTAATATTGAGCCTCAAAGTGTATGAGATAATGTTTGAGTTTAAAAACATATTTAATTTATATTTCTATTAAACCTGCACCATGTTAGATTTGGAGACCTCTCTGGTAGAAATATGTAATTGCACCAATGCTCGTAATGTTGATTGTCAGTTCCTAATCTCTCTGCTCACACTAACATACAACATATGCACATGCATAAGAAGAACACCATATAGAAGAACACTGACTGTTCTTCTAAAGGTAATGCAGTTTTTCACCCCAGCCTTTATGTATGCCATTATTCAATACCTAAATCAACCTAGAACATCAAGCCCTCGAGAAATGTGGCCTTAGAGCAGTACAGTTTGTGTGGCACACGTTGTTAGCTATAACAGAATGAAAGACGCAGGAACGCTGATGCCGCTGGAGTGTCCTCTAGGACACCAGGTGGCACTGGGGTGTCCTCTGAGACCCCATGCAGCACTGTCAACACTAGCAACGGCTCTGTGCTCTCTTCCGGGACACAAGGCACTGCTGTCATCAATGGCGACACGGGTGTCCTCTGGAGCACCCGGCAGTGCCCAGGCATGGGCCATAGCAGCCATTCTGGCCAGGGAGAATCTTTATCCTCCACATTGGGTATGCCCTCTCTTGGCCAACCCAACCCTGCGATCCTGGCCCATGGCCAGGATAGAAACAACAGGGCTCGGGATCATGTGCAGGTCAGGGACATGACGGGAGAGGGCGGTACTCTGACCACCCTGTACCATCCAGTAAAATCCTGCATATGAACAAACGGCTTTATTTACACAAGTCCCACTTTTCTCAGTCTCTCTCAGCTGATGGCGAGCATGAGATCGTGTGGCCAGTGTCCTCTTCTCTCACATGCTGGAGAGAGCCAGTCTTTAAAGCATCCATGCTCTTCCGCTGATTGATAATTAGATATAATTATTATAATAATGCTTCATATTTGTCTGTAAAAGTTCTGTTTGGGAAACCCCACAGCATGACACAGCTTTCTTCATTTGACTACTTTGATTTCTGTCCAGGTTATGCTGGGCAGAGATTATGTTTATCATTGTTTTACTACATTTCACTCTAAATTTGACATTTTCCTATTTTTTTTTCCAGGAAAGAATGGCTTCCTGTTCCGAGTCCTCTCCTGCTCCTACTGTCCACATTCCTGCAGTTCTAATTCACTTCCACAACCACATCAAGAAATCACCAAACCACCAAGAGGATCACATCACAATGTTGAAGCCAGAAGAGATTAAATGTGAAGATGTGGCGTCCGAAATCTCCCATACTCAATCTTTTGCTATACTCCAAACCAACACATCACACAAACACACATATGATGAGGTAATTTTTCCTGCAAAACCTATTAGTTACAATTATTTATTGGTGGAAAAACAGATCCTTAAAATATATTAAATAATATTTAAGTTTAAAAACGCAGTTAATATTTCTTTTAAGGCTGCACTATGTAAGATTTGAAGACCTCTGGTAGAAATGTGTAATTGAAAGGATGAATGGATTGCATCACTCACATCCAAAAGGCAGACAACGTTGATAGGCTGATTGACAAATCGAGAAGACAGCACTTTTGGAATAAATTTGGGTTTTTGTTGACTTTTCTAGCAGATGTGATTGCTAGAAGGAAGGCTGTTTTGAGTGATAGCCTCTTGATGTCTACACCACCAGGTGGTTTGAACAGAGTTTTACACAGAGAATCTAACACCACACATAGGTCCCAAGTTGGGTTTCTGGGCTGTTCTGGTATGCATAGCTGTCTGACACCCTTGAGGAAAGATGTGACGAGTCCAAGTGAAACCAAGGTGCAACTGTCCACTTGCATGTGATGTGCAGTGATTTCTGCCACATGTACTTCAATCATAAGGAGAAAGACCTGATCCAACAACCTCTGTACAAAATTCAGGACAGTGGGTAATGGACAATCAATAAGATCTATAGCTTGATCAGAACATGATGGTGATAATAATCTTCTTCTAAATGAACATGGTATGAGTGGAAGGTGCACGGGCATTCAACAGTGTTGTTCACACTTAATGTGCATTCCATGAACTCTGCTCTTGCCCCAGTGGCCACACCCAGAACTGTAGATGGCCTGGCCAGGGATGCAGTATTCTGCTGTCCATCTGTGACAAAAGGTCTTGCCTGAGGGGGAGAAGCTTCCCTGACAACAGCGATATAGTGAAATATATTTAATTCTGGAACTTAAAATCATTAGTTGTCTGAATAAACCAGGGTCTTGCTGGTCAACATGGGGGGAATCAGCAGTGGTTGATGTTGCTGTTGTTGGACCCTGTGTAATATAGCAGATAATTGGGCCAGCTGTGTGCAGGATGCCCCAAGCCAAATGAGGCTTTGCAAGTCTATTTGGGCAAACCAGACAGGGAAGTGTGTAAGCATCTGTGAATAGATCCACTTTGGCTCTGCCTTATGTGTTCCATATCATCTGAGCTGTTTCTGGGTTTAATCTTCAGTTTCCCTGAGAAATATGATGGCGGGAGAGTGAATCGGCCACTTGATTGAGATGACAGGGCAGGTGAAACGCACAAAACACAATCTGCCTTGTTGCTCCCTAAATGGTCAATGTGGAACAATGTATATGTATTGGTTGTCTAAACAAGAACGTTTGCCCTGTAGGGATGAGGCAAAGCATCATTGGGCTGGTGAACTCTGGCCTGTCTCCTACTTGTGGCCCATTTGTTCCAAATGTTACCCCAGCCTAAGCTGAAAGCATCTGTTGTGGCATGTACATACTGAAGGGTAATTCCTACCAATGTGTGTCGATATCGAACTGGATGGAGTCAAAAGTGTATGGCTCAAATTTGGAATAGGCACAGCTACAACAGACCAAGAGCAGTGACAGGCACCGCAGACAGGCACAGAATTGAGGAGGCACTGGTGAGGTGGCTGCTGGGGACTGTCCCATCTGCTGGCAGCATGCTTCTGTACCCATCTCTCTTAGGCCTCTTTTGCTGCAGGGCTGAAAAGCTGCCCAGGTAGCAGAAGCAAGGATCTCAAATTAGCACAACGTGGGTCCGAGAGTGGAGACTGTGTGAGCCACACCCATCTTCGAGTTTGAGCCTGAAGCTCAAGAACTCTGCCACACATCGCTATCATTATAGCCACAGATAAACGCAGCCTGGTGGCTGAAGGGTAGCATCAAGAGTTCAGATTGACCGTAGCCATTCACAAGAAATGTGCAACAGTAACCTAACGGTACTCTTTGAGAGTTGTCTGAAGTTTTTAAGACTCTTTTGACAGTTTTTTACCACTCTGTCTTCCTTTCTGCCTTTTTGCCTTCCTTTCCACCACTCTGTCTTCTTTTAGCTTGGGGTAACATGGTTCATAAGGTTTAGCAAAGGCTTTGAATTTCAAGTACCCACATTATTTAGTATCCGATGACAAGCAAATACAAATTTTAGCTCAAAAAGGTAAATGCTGTACTTTGCCACAAACAAGCCTGTCTATTCCATACGGCCAAGGGCTTGTGAGTGGCACACAAACTGTACTGCTTCTGGGCCACATTTTTGATGTTCTTGGTGAATTGAGCAAATAACAATAGCATGCATAAATGCTGGACTTTTCCGTAGTTTTACAGAATCCCAAACAATACTGAAAAGGTTAATAGTTAGATATAATTATAACAGTGCTTTATATTTGTCTGTAAAAGTTCTGTTGGGTAAACCTCACAGCTTGACACAGCTTTTTCCATTTGACTACTTTAATCTCTGACCAAGTTATTTTTTTGTACATTTGACACTGAATTTTACACTTTCCTATTTTTTCCAGGAAAAAATGGCCTCCTGTTCTGAGTCCCCTCCTGTTCCGACTGTCCACTTACCTGCAGTTCTAATTTACTTCCACAACCACATCAAGAAACCACCAAGCCACCAAGAGGAATGCATCACAATGCTGAAGCCAGAAGAGATTAAATGTGAGGATGAGGTTTCCGAAATCTCCAGTACTCAAACATCATCTGCTACAGGCTGCACAAACCCATCACCCAGGACCCAAGAAAACACAGACAAAGGATTAAATCACCAGTGCTCAGAGTGTGGAAGGAGTTTTGATACACTGGGTCATCTCCAAGTACACCAGCTCAGTCACACAGGAGAGAGACCGTATCCCTGCTTATGGTGTGAAAAGAGTTTTACTAAACCAAACAATCTGAAACAACATCAGCTCGTTCACACAGGAGAGAAACCGCATCAATGCTTAGAGTGTGGACAGAATTTTGCTAGACAGAGTCATCTCCGAAGACACCAGCGCATTCATACAGGAGAGAAACCGTTTCACTGCTCAGAGTGTGGACAGTGTTTTACTAGACAGACTCATCTTCGAAGCCACCAAAACATTCACACAAGAGAGAAACCGTATCGCTGCTTAGTGTGTGGACAGAGTTTTCTTAGACAGTGTGATGTCCAAAGACATCAGCGTTTTCACACAGGCGGGAAACTGTATCACTGCTCAGAGTGTGGAAAGAGTTTTGAAAGAGATAATGGTACCCTCAAGGCACACCTGTGCATTCATGCAGGAGAAAAGTCATGACACAGCTAATGCTGTGGGAAGAGCTTTAAGCATTTGAATTTAGACACACAAATGCTTCAAAAGTGTGTGTGTGAATATATATATATATATATATTTTCCACAAAACGGAAAGTAGAAGGTCTGATTTGAAGATCAGACTCTATTTTACCATGATTTTATGGATAACATCCTAGATCAGCACTTCTGCTCTGAGAAGATCTGTGAAAATGGGTCCTGGTTTTCCATGGTTGGAGTTCCATTTTCAACAGTACCAAAGATTTCAAGACATCAGTGTACGTTCCAACTCCAGAATGTTCAGTTTGATTGGGAATAATGTGTTTCTTTACAGCTGCTTTAATAATAAAACAGTAATTATAAAAAAAATTGAGACATGGTGTACAAAACTGGGCTCTGCCCCACTAGTTAAGAGACAATTGTTGTTAGTCCTGCTGTTGCTGTTCATTGCTGGTTTAATGTGTTTGTGTGTTATTGTGTCAGGGAGTAGGCTCAAATAGAGTGGGTTAAGTTTAAAATAGACTTCAGTTAAATGGCTAGAAATGACCTTTCCTGTTATTTTGGCTGTATTGACTTTCCTGCTGGTGTAAATTATGTAAATAAAAAAGCACTTCTCATAGCAGAATAATGGCCTCTGCAATGTTCTACACAGATGCCACGTTACTGTACTTTCATAATTTAACAACTCATCTGAACCTATCGTGATGCTTAAGCTAGAAAATTCTTGGAATTCTTTTTCAGTAGTGTGTCGTATTCTGGGAAACTCCCAGCAGAGAGAATGTAAAGTCTATTTTATTGTAACAGCCTATTACTGCTTTGAAAGAATTGCCCCACTGTTTCAATAATAAAACAGTAATAATAAAAATAATGGTAATAATAATAATACATGCACATTTAATTTTATAATATTTAACACGCTGTTTCAAATAAAATTGGTACACTCTAATTCCCTCAGTTCTCTTTCCCAACATGGTGATTATTGCCATTGACGCTTCTTAATCAGCTTGCTTGTAAATCATTGATGTACTGCCCAGGCCTAATGTCAGTACTTACAGTGTGTCCAACTGATGTGAACACACCAAGTGGTACTCCTCATTAGCACTATTCCTAAATGACAAGTAACGTCATTCTTGGTTAATACAGACACCTGTTTAAACACACCTCTCACATCCATAATTTGCAGTATGAGATTTAATACCTTTGATAAAGCTTCTTTCTTCATATTGCTTACAGTCATGAAATATGTTTTCCACAAATCACAAACCCAGTGGCTAACCTAAGTAACTCAACAATTAGTTTACCTAAAATATTCAAACAATGAGTTTGGTTTTTAAGTTCCAGAATTAAATATATTTAACATATTAAATACAGGGTTTAAATGATTTGAATATCATTGCACTATTTGTTGACATTTTGCACAGCGTCTCAACTTTTTTTTTGGAAACGGAGTTGTATAATAATCATTGGAAAACAGCTCTGACTCCCTCCTATATTTATCTGGTCTCGGATCTAAATGCTAGATTTAAAGAAACTCTTAACATTCTTGCACCAGTCAAATAGAAGAAAAACTAGTCATAAGATGTCATGTTAGATGCAGGTTGGAACAAAACTTCTCAGGAAAGTAGATCTTCAAGAGGAGGGTGGTGCTGGTGGACAAATTAATAAAAGTTGTCAGAAAATAAAGCATTTGCACATTTATCATCAAATCTTTTTGTCTTGCAGTACAGACAATATGGTTAGCTCGAACATGATAATAAAATCAACTGAACACTAATTCAATCATTCTGGTTTATTTTCATTTATTCAAACAAGCGTCATTCTTTGTATATTCAAAAAATGATGCAAACAATGTGATCAACAAAAAAATGTTTGTCTTTTACATTTTTTTCCAAGTTGTGTCCCAGTGTTTGTCATGTTCGTAAGAATAATCCAGATACAGAACAACAACTTTAAGGCACCCTAAACATAAACATAGAGATCTCACAAGAGAGAGGAAGTGAAGACTTCTTGTATGAAATAGGGCTGCATGATATTGACATAAAATGTGTTGTTCGATAAAGCTGTCGGGTATCACAATGAAATACTAACAACTATTTACATCAGAACTGAGGGCACATTTTTTTGTGCTGAAAAGCTGAGGAACAGTAATATCTCAACAGTTTATTATATAAAAGCTACAAAACCACATAAAATACTTATTTTTATATAGGCATACATGAACAAATACATATTCCTTCATTTTATTTTTTGTATATTTATTAAATATTGTGGCATCAGACACACCGGGTTGTATTTAGTTTAAAAGTAACATTCTTGCTTTTGGTTGAGTGTAGTTAGGCACCATGTTCCTAGGTGGTCCAGGACTCTTATTTTGAAAGACTCTGGGGGGCGTAAGGTAGCGAGCCAAAGGAGCCCAACTGGCTAGCAGAAAAACAGTAGAGCCTGAGCAGCCTATGTGCTGCATGTTTTTCCCTTTGCTGCAGCTGTTTTGAGTTGAATTTCCAATTCCATTTCCATTCTCTGAGTGCGTTTTGTAGTTGCCGTTTGGCCGAATGGTTAAGTTACTTGTTTCCCATGTGGGAGAGCAGGTTCAGTTCCAGCACAGAGAAGCAGGCTTGTAACGGTTTGTGCCAGTAATTAATGTTGAGATAATTAGATTTGTTCTATCATCACCGTTCTAACAATGAGCGGAAACTCTTATCCAGATAAAAAATATGATTTATCGTACAGCTCTAGTACGAAATAATGGAACTGTGCAGTCTTGCTGCTGTCAGCTCATTTCATCCTTATCCCAAAAAAAAACTCAGTAGAGTTGAAACCCAGGGACTGTGAAAGCCACTCAAGCAATAAAAACTCACTGACATGTTACTTGAACCATTTGGTGGGGCGCTGTTCACACCAAGCAGGGTCCATAGATTGATGCTGCTTGCTCCAAATTCTAATTCATCCATTAGTATGATGCTATAGTACTCTGGATTTGCCAGGTTAACTTTTTTCCACTCCTTAACAGCCCAGTTCTTATGCTCCTGTGCACACTAGACAAAACTGCTTGTTTTTCACTGACAGCATCTGTTGACCATCCTGACAAAGTCCCATAAGTAGTGCACTTCGAGGTTGAGTTGTTATGTGGTTGGTATGGTGTAGTGGGTAACACCTCTGCTTTCTGTGCTGTAGACTGGGGTTCAAGCACCCTGCACTATACCAATAAAAGTCCTTGGGCAAGAGTCCTAACACATTCGCCTACCTATGTAAAATGATCAAATTGTAAGTTGCTCTAAGAATGTCTGCCAAATGCCGTAAATGTCATTAGTTTGAGATTACGTCCTGCACAACATTCAACATAACCTAGGTCACTCACTTCTCCCATTCCACCAAACTGAACACTAACTGATGATAAAAATGTACAATTTGCGTGACAGTTTACCTAATAAACTGTCAAACCAGCCTAAACTGCACCTATCAAAGTTACAGAATTTGTTGCTTTAAACTTCCAGCCTAACAAACATCCCATATTTTCACTTGACAAATTCATGTGTCATGAGTTTCCAGCTTCCTCTTATTGCAGCTGTGTTTCTTTATACTACTTGAATACCTGAAGCTCTTGCCACAATCTGAACAGTAATATGGTTTCTCTCCAGTGTGAATGCGCTGATGTGTTTGAAAAAAACTCCGCTGGCTAAAATTCTTCCCACACTCTGAGCACTGATACGGCTTCTCTCCCGTGTGAATGCGCTGGTGTAGTTTGAGATTACTCTGTCGATTAAAACTCTTCCCACAGTATGAGCACTGATATGGCTTCTCTCCTGTGTGAATGCGCTGGTGTTCCTGGAGACTACTTTGTAAGCTAAAATTCTTCCCGCACTCTGAGCACCGGTATGGTTTCTCTCCTGTATGAATGCGCTTGTGTATTTTGAGATGACCTTGTAGAGCAAAACTCTTCCCACACTCTGAGCATCGATGTGGCTTCTCTCCTGTGTGAGTGACCTGGTGTCGCAGGAGATGACTCTTTTGAATAAAACTCTTCCCGCACTCCGAGCACTGATACGGTTTCTCTCCTGTGTGAGTGCGCTGGTGTATCTGGAGATGAAGCTGATGATTATACTTCTTTCCACACTCTGAGCACTGAAACGGCATATCTCCAGTGTGAAGACGCTGGTGTAGTCGGAGATGATTCTGTCGAATAAAACTCCTCCCACACTCTGAGCAGTGATACGGTTTCTCTCCTGTGTGAATACGCTGGTGTATTTTGAGATAACTACGTTGACTAAAACTCTTCCCACAGTCTGAGCACTGATTCAGCTTCCCTCTTGTGTGAAAGCCCTGATTTGTTTTAACAGTACTATCATTCTCGCACGCTGACTCGTCATTAAACTTTTCTCCTGCATGAATGCACTGGTGCCGTTGAAGCTGACTCAGTAGAACAAAACTCTCTCCACAGTATGAACAGTAATATGGTTGCTTTCTTGTATGAATGCACTGGTGAAGATGGAGATCACACTGATGGCTAAAACGCATCCCACACTCTAGACAGCGGTGCAAGTCCTCCGTTCCTGTATTGTTCTTCATTTGTCTGTCAGATGTGTTAGTGTAGAGAACACCAGCAGATGTTAGCTGAGGACTCAAGCTTACTGGCAGCACCACATCCTCATGTTTAATCTCTTCCAGTTTCAAAACAGGCAGTACCATTCCTTCACATTGAGTCTCTTCTGATTTCAGCACTGGCTGCCCCATATCTTCACATTTAATCTCTTCAGGTTTCAGCATTGTGACATATACCTCCTGGTGGGATCTCCCTACCTGTCTGTGACGGTAAATTTAAACTGTATAGGAAAGCGGGCACACGGAGTGGAAGACTGGCAACAAGACGTCATTTATTTCTAGAAGAAAAAAAACAATAAAAAATCAATTAAAGTTCAGCAACAGTATTACAAAATTGTTGGGCATTGTTCACAATGTAAATGTCCAGTTTGTTTCAGAACTTCAACAGCATTTTGCTAAAGACTGGTATGTTCAGATCTTGGGCACCCATGTGGCCCCAAAGATCTCTTACAATAGGTGTTTATCGGGTGCTGAATACTTGGTGACACTGAGCCAAGAGCTTAAACTCTACATAGCTCACCAAAGAAGAATGGTATGATGCTTTGAAGTCATCAGTGTAAACAATGTCCATAAATCGTCTTTGTCCATAAATGACAGTCTGGGTGTGACTCACCAATGAACAAGATTTCAAAAATTGCACCATGTATGTCTGGATTCAGAAGACATTCAACTACAGATGAACCAGCCAAACAAAAGCCTGCAGCCGTAAAACTCCACAAGTGAGCTCCTTGGATGCATTAGCCTTGGACGTGATGTTTGCTCTCACTCTGCTACAGAGGCTGTTGTTGTTGAAACAGGCAAGAAGAATCAAAACTATGAATCAAACTTTACTTACAGCTCTACAGATGGAGTTTTCTGACAAAACTCGTTTTTCTCCACTGCAGCGCTACTTAATCCATTGTAACTAATGTAGCATAGCCAATGCACTTCATATAAAATCAGCTAGATTATAATGATTTAACTATTAAGGCACACTGCAGTTATTTACACTAACAACTACTTCATTCTATTTGCAAACATTGTGCATCTTTCTAGCAATCTGTCATTCTGAACGAAGTTATCCATTTATTTATAAACTGATTAATGCAAATGAACAAAAATATGTTTGTGTATGAAGCAACCCAATTATCTGCTTCAGACTGCAGACTTTTTTTAACAAGCCAACTCTCCAAATGAGGTCACTCTGTTGTACATTGTGTAATATTTGTAAAGCAGTGAAGTAAGCAGTTGGTTTGGCCCCATGGTGATGCTGCTGCACAGTTACTGCAGCCGACTGCAGTACAACTTTTACTTTCACTACAGTCGCACTTTCAGCACAGCTACTCTCTTTAGCTTATAATAACTGCAGAATATCACTGTAGAAAGTACACCAGAATAGGCCTGTGTACTTTGACAGCCATCTCATGTTTACTGCTGTTATTAATCCTACTTATTTTCTTTACTAAATTAAGTAACTAGTGTATTTCAAATGTCAATATATTCAATAATATTTGACAAACAAACAAATGAAAAATGCAAATTTAATTTCTGGTCCCATCTGACAGACCTACTGTAGCTTGATAATGTAGTCTTTCTCTGTAAGGTAACATAGCAAACATGTAGACACGAGAATAATGTTTAAAATATGCTAAATACATTTCAGCTAATGAGATTAGTATAATATGTGTAATATGTATACAACTCAAAGACTACTTCAATGAACAAATCATGTATGCGTGCACCAGTTGAGCCCAAAGAAAAAACACATTAACTATTCCACCATTTTTGGTTTGGACTGTCTGTCATTTTGTTTTCTATTTCTGTTTTAGTTGTTGCCAAACTGAAGCCAAACATTTAGTGAGCCTTCATTTTAAATAACAAAATAAATCAAACAATGCCATACCATGCTTATATAATTTTGAGAAAAAATATTCCTATGTTATTTCTTTTTTTTTGCTCAATTAATAAAAGCATTAACATTTTTTTTCATTTAGAAAGACCAGATACACCAGAGTGTGAAGGAAACCTGCCACACTTGAAATCTCAATTAAACACATCTCAAAGTGATCACAACACTGCTGCAAGTTTATTTTGTGTGTGGTAACTAATTCTGTTGAATGTCAGGCTTGACACACAACGCAACAGTATTTCTATTGTGGCAAACTGGAAGCATTTTGGTGTTAACGGGATTTGGAGTAATTTTACATTATGCTATAGTACAGCTAGGCAATCTGACTATATTTATCGTTATTGTGATAAATTACACCACAATGTGCTTTTCTGTGGATATTTTCAGAACTTAAAAAACACCAGCTGCATGTTTGATTAAAAAGTGAGCAGTCCTGTTGAACTTCATGCAGCACAGTGTGTAAAATCTTGAATACAAATAACTGAATTCATAGTTTTTGTCAGTATGTTTAAAATGTGGCACTGCTTTGTCTGTTGTAACTTATCAGATGCCAGAAAAAATAATGTGACATATACTGTAAAAAGCCTCTATATTATAGTACATTTAAAAAAAAAAACACACATATTTTAAACCAATGTATTGATTAGTTGCTGAATCAATACATTGGTTTAAATTATCAATCAATCAAATCCTGTAGAAACACAAACAAACCCCCAAAAAAGTAACAATACAAACTGAAGAAATAAAACATGAGATCTATACGGAACCATCTGCATGCTTAAAGCGTTCTCTGCATGGTGAAATGGTTCTTAAATTGATGGGGAATGTGTTGTATATTGTTCAATATAGAACCTTTTGGAAAATGGTTCTCTATAGCAGTTAATAATGGTCCTTCTACTGAGGCACTGTCATGCAATAACAACAGAAGAACAGATAAATAGAACCATACACATCTTCCATCAATCTGAAGAGCGACTTCACCCTAAAAAGAACCATTAAAGCATGAAGTGGTTCTATTTAGAACATGTGGGTCTAAACAGAACCATTGCCTTTACTAGAGATCCATCTTTTTAAAGTGTTTAATACAGACATAACTGAACTACATTCTTAAGAAAGATTCAAGAAGTTCTTCAACGGTTCTTTAGTAAAGACGTTGGTTCTATGTAGAACCATCAGACACTCTTAAGAATCATCTGCATGATTAAATGGTTCTTTGAATTGAGACACGGTTCTTCAGATTGATGGAGGAAGTGTTGTATGTGGTTCTGTATAGAATCTTTTTGAAAATGTTTCCATATAGCACCAAAAAACGATTCCTCTTTTGTTACAAGCTTGACATCGTAACTACAGAAGAACACTTCTTCTTCTAGGGTTTTATATGGAACCATATAGAACACATTCTGCATCACTCTGAAGAACCATTTCACCATTTAATCATGCAAACGGTTCTTTGAGTGTTCCTGGCTCTATATAGCATCACTGTCTTTACTAAAGAACCCTTGAAGAACCATTTTTGAACCATCTTTTTTCAAGTGTGCAATTCAGACATGACTAGACTCTGTTTATGTTCTTGTACACATATTTTTTAAGTCAGAACTTAGTGAAATATCGTTTTCTTCTCACGGCAGATGAGCTGTAGGTCATTATAAACAGGGTCTGTACAGGTGAGTGTGTGTCTCAGGTGGTCTGAACCAGCAGATATAAAACACTGTGTATGCTAACTAGCGGCAAAAACATTAACACAGATCATTCACAGCAGTTTTAACCAATAACTGAACCTCTAACACGATATACGAGTTTAAATCTACATGTACCGGAGCTTTAGACCTAAACAGAATAAAACTGACCGCCTAAAAACAACTTTAATACCTCAGATTCAGCTTCGTGTGCGGAGCTTCTCCCCCTGAGCTCAGATGACAAGAGTCCTGTTTCTACAGGCAGCGAGAGAGAAGCCCACTGCGCATGTGCAGAGCCAGCACTGTGATTGGTGGAACGGGGAGTAACGTCAAGGTGATGCTAAGATGTAAACTGACCCGTACTTTATTATGAAAGATGTTTTGTTTCTACACAAATCCTAACACTGTTCCTGAATATGCTGTTAATTATTTTATTTTGTCTAAAAAATATTTTATTCATAAAAAACAAAATTTCAAATTCAATTCCCAAAATTTCAGTTTTTAGAACAGCACTGGATTACATCCCTTCTTAAAATGATAATTGATAAAAAAAAAGAGCAACATTTTCCTCAGATATATATCTGGAGGTTTGCGACATGCTTTGAATCCTTCAATGTCTTGTTATCATGATGATTATTAAAAAATATATTTATCATTATTATTTATTTGTCTTGTTTATTAATTTATTTCATTGTATTATTTTGTGTTATTCTAGACTGTTTTGCTGATTTTAGTTGACCCATTTAGTGTAGTAGTAGCGTATGTTGTAGTGATGTGTGCTGTTATCGTTAAAAATAATTGCATCAATTAAAAAAAAAAAGACCCATACAGAAATCTGATATATGGTCATATATGATATATGTACATTTGTGTTGTGTACTTATATCATTGCTGTCCAATGAAAAACAAGTATCTCCAAAATATTAACTTTACAGGAGAAGGCAAAAACACTCTTACCTTTCAATGAAAGTCAACGTAAAGAGATTTTGTTCCAAGTGATTTTAAAACATTTCTATTGGACCATTCATCATGACATTTTTATACAATGTATAGGACAGCTGGTGTGTTGGAATGATGCAGAAAACTAAAAATTAACAAAAATGGAGATACATGGTTTCCATTGGACAGCGACAATATGTATCAAATATTGGGCATATATACACAGTATATGGATCGTACATATATGTCTGATAGATGGGTGAACACATGCACAATATATAGATCATACATGCACTAAATGGACAAAAGTATTGGGACACCTACACATCACACCTACAGGAGCTTTTATGAATCCCATTCTAAATCCATAGGCATTAATATGGAGATGGTCCCCCTTTGCAGCTCTAACAGCTTCCACTCTTCTAGGAAGCTTCTACAAGATGTTGGAGAGAGTCTGTGGGAATTTCTGCCCATTCATCCAGAAGAGCATTTGTGAGGTCAGACACTGATGTTGGATGGCTCACAATCTCCATTCTACTTCATCCCAAAGGTGTTTGATGGGGTTGAGGTCAGGGCTCTGTGAGAGTCAGTCAAGTTCTTCCACACCAAACTCACCCAGTCAGGCCTTTATGGAGCTGCTTTGTGCACTGGGGCTCAGTCATGCTGGAACAGAAAAGGTTCTTCCCCAAACTGTTCCCACAAAGTTGGAAGTGTACAATTGTCCAAAATGTCTTGGTGCAGAAGGATTGAGATTTCCCTTCAATGGAACTAAGGGTTCTAGACCAACCCCTGAACCCCCTGAAAAACAGCCCCATATCATCATCCCATCCCTCTGCCAAACTGTACAGCTGGCACAGTGCAATCAGGCAGGTAATGTTCTCCTGGCATTCGCCAAACCCAGACTCGTCCATCAGACTGAAAGATAGAGAAGCATGATTGGTCATGTTTCCACTGCTCCAGAGTCCAGTGGTGGCACTTTACACCACTCCATCCGACGCTTGGCATTGTGGTAAATCTTTTTTTCCCACTACACAAACATATATTTTAATTTATTTTACTTAATTTATCATGCAAGTTATTGCTTAGCCTTGTTCAATGCAACAAAAAAATCTTTGCTACGAATCGCTGCGTCTGATGCTGCCAAAAAAACAGTAATGAAATAATCAAAATTAAGAAAAGAAATACAAATAAATACAAACTGGACACAGTTTGACATATGACTATCGCTGACACACTGCCACAACACAGCAGAGTGAAATATAATAAATAAGAAAAATAAATAAATCAACAAGAAGGTCAATAAAGGACACCCAATAGCCAATCAGAGCGAGGTAGCCGAGTCGTCACTGGAAGGTGGCGATGCGATCACTGGGTCATTTCTCCCTTTTAAGGCGAACCGCAGCGGTTCAGAGGCGCTCTGTCGCCACCGCGTGGTCAGCGTCAGTACTGTACCCGATGTTCCCGGAAGCCGCTGATGGATTTCAAATATAAACACGACCATGGAGTGGACGAGCGTCCGTCCTGCGCTCCTCTGCGCTGTAGCTTTAATAAACTTTGTTTTCGTCTTCGGCACCGGAGCGGATTTCGTTCGCTTCGTTTCCTTCCGCGCTATTTACCACAACATAACCGGCGGAGCGCCGCTTTGCAGAGGTGAGTTCACCTAGCTGAGTTTATGTAAGTTTGGAGGAAAAGCAGACGAGCTAACTCGGTTTTACAGACAGCTGAGCAGTTTATCTGGTTTAAAATCACACCGAGACCGTCTCACAGGAACGAGACAGCAGGAGGAGCAGCTAAATTAACCCACATTTCTCAGACACGGCATCAAATTTAACGTTAATAGCAAAGAGAGCCATGTTAGCATAAGTCTGCTATAGTTAGCTCGGCTAAGTCAGAGAGTCCCCACTGAGAAAGTCGTTTAGATCATTTATTTAGTTCAATATTGTTAATTAATTGTATTTGTATGTCAATTAATGTACAATCGTACGCAACTCAGCAACGTGAGAAAGTTATGGCTCTCCGGAGACTTGGCCTTCACCGCCCGGCTAGCTCAGTCGGTAGAGCATGAGACTCTTAATCTCAGGGTCGTGGGTTCGAGCCCCACGTTGGGCGCGTCAAACTTTTCCATTTCTCTTCACCACATACTTAATAAAAGATGGGTATTCATGGGGACTTAGGTAAAGGCATGGGTTCTTTTTACAACAATGAGTTCTACACTCTTCCAAATTATGGTTCCTATTACTATTACTATTACTATTACTATTATTTATAGTAAATGGTTCTGTATAGAACCATGAACACAAAAAAAAACCTTTGCGTAATTAAAGGGTTCATTGCATTGTGAAATGGTTCTTTAGATTGATGGAGAAGGTGTTGTAGATGGTTCGACATAGAACCTTTTAGAATAGAGTTCTGTATAGCACCAAAAAGGGTTCTCATATTGTTGCGATGTCAAGCTTGTACCGGTAGTAGAACCCTTTTTGGTGCTATATAGAACCATCTACAGCACAGTCTCCATCGATCTGAAGAACTCTTTAATTATGCAAAAGTTCTTTGAGTGTTCATGGTTCTATATATAATCGTTGTCTTTACTAAAGAACCCTTGAAAAGCCATCAATTTTAGGGTGTGTTTAGAACCATTTCATGCTTAAATAATTATTTGCATGGAGAAATGGTGTTTATATTGACAGTTTATATTGGTTTTGTATAGAACCAAAAAAGGGTTCCTCTGTTGTATACAAAGTTGGTACGATGTTAACATTGTCAGAAGCTCCTCAAATTAGCAGAATGCTTTTTTTAAAAAAGGTTCTATACAGAACCATGTCAATCTGAGGAACCATTTCACCATGCAAAGAACCATTTAAGCATGCAAATGGTTCTATATAGAACTCACGGTTCCAAATCAAACTATTGCCTTTACCAAAGAACTCTTTAAAAAGGTGGTTGTTCGAGTTTTAAACGCTCTTATAAAATATGGTTCTTCAGGGGTTCTTTATTTAAAAAAAATAAAAAAAAGGTTCTATATAGACCCTTGAACACTCAACAAATCCTTTGCATAAATATAAGGTTCTTTGCATCGTGAAAGGGTTCTTCAGATTGATGGAGAATGTGCTGTATATGTTTTTTGAAGTTCTATATGGCACCAAAAAGGTTCTGCTATAGTTACAAGCCAAAGAACCCTTTAGGTACTACTAAGGGTGTAGAAACAGAGCAGGTGCTGCTCTTATTGTTCCCTGCAAAGCACTCTAAGCAGAGTATTAAGACATTTTGAGGAAGATTCCAAACTGTATGAGGTGAAAATGTTCAGTTTGAAGGGAAAACTGTTTTGAATATGGGGTTTCATTGCTGAAATATACCCGTCTGTTGTTGCCAGTGGAGTAATTTAGTTTTGCCTTTTATGTTTTTGTTGTGTTTATTTTTGAGGCATGGGTTGAAATAAAAATTATATGTCACAATATTTACCCTAATCTTTTATCAGGGTTTTCACTCTTATCCTGGCATTACATTAAAGAGCCCATATCATGTATTTTCTGTGTATTTTATTCTGTTCCTGAGCTCCACTGATGACGATTTTATGGTTTTACGTGTCAAAAACAGTTTTAGTTCATTTCTACATGATTGTTTTCAAACCTGTCTTTTATATCTTAGATTTAAACAGGTTGTTCCTTGTTACTGTGGTATGTAAATGAGCTGTGTTCTGATTGGCAGTCCTGTATTGAGCCTCACTCTAAAAGGCAGCCTGGACTGTGTGGAGCCAAACTTCTGCAGGCTGAGTAGGTGTATGTATGTAAATATCCTGCTTTTTTTTGGGAAATCATAAAAGCACTAAATTTAAAACGGGCTGCTTTTTTAGCTCAGTTAGACTGAATGTTGAAACCTTAGTTGCTGTAGTTGTTTCCATAATACAGTAAGATTCATCTGTTTCAAAAAAGTGAGGAAAATTCAGTTTTTCATGATATGAGGGAAAAAACAGTATACATATATGTAATTCTACAACAAATATTTGACAATAATAAGTTTGATAATCAACGTATCTCATGAAAATAATAATTAGTGATCTTTCTCAATATTTTACGGTGTTTCAGTGAAGTTTTATTGAAAAGTAGAATAAATAAATGGGTCTTCTTCAATAAACAGTAATATTATTGGAAGTGTTAGTTTTTTACTTTTTATGGTTTTGTTGCTTTTTTTTTTTTTTCGAGGCTCCTTCCAAACCTTTCGGTTGTTGACAACAAAATCTTTTTTTTTTTTTTTCACTACTTACACATATTTTAAGTTATTAGAAGCCACGTGTCACTACACGGCAGTGTTCGAAGCAAAAGCCTCTGCATGCTTCTTTGATGACGACATTCCAGATGAAGAGATTTAATAAACTGGAGCTTCTTTAATGTACATCTCATGATCAGTCTGTTGGGAAAATAAAGGGCACTTCTTACCCAGACCAGCTTCATTATCGCTGTCCAAAGAAATCCAATATCTCCAAACAGTAACTTTACAGGGGATGGCGAAAACATTCTTAACTTTTTACTTAAGTTAATGTAGAGGTTTTACTCCAAGTGACTTTGGAGCATTTTTATTTACACACACACAGATACATGTTTTTTGGGACTGTAACAGTATGTTGTGTTTTGGATGCTGGCACGCTGCTCAACCAGTATGACCATGTTGGGAGACCAACTAAACCAGCACCAGAGTAGCATAAACCAGCTGAGACCAGTGTTTTTTTTCAGCAGGGTAGGAACTAGAGATGGGACCAATCTGATCCTGTATTGGTATCGGGACCGCCTTTGACCTCCGTCATTCACTCATCGGATATCAGGCGGACAGGGCTGATCCACTTACCCGATCCATATTCCAGTCCGCAGCTTGCGCTGGACCATGAACCCGCCGTAATGTAACATAACGTTACAAGAACCGTCACCGAATCGGATTCCCTTCCACATCTTACCATGAACCTGCAGCAACTTAAGTCTGTAACTGAGTGAGCAAATAACGTTAGCTGTTGGTTTGACTAAAATGTTATTTGGAGATATTTTAGTCTGCAAACACCAAAAAGCAGGACAGCTACTTGTAATATGTGTAAGGCCATTGTGCCGAGAGGTGCAAGTGCGGCTGCGTCGTACAATACAACCAGCTTAATCACCTGCAGAGGTTTCACGTGAAAGAGTACCTGGAGTTCATGCTAGCCAACGGACAGGAAGACGCCACCTGGCAGCGACTCTCGCTGATGCTGTCCAGAAACACGCTAAACTTCCAGCAGACGACCCAAAGACTAAAGGGATCACAGAGAAGTTGCTGAACTTCATTATACTTGATGGCCAATATCTATCTGCAGTGGGAAATGTTGGGTTTCTCAGCCAGTTGGAGAACTTAGAGCCGAGGTACAATCTGCCATCCAGAAAATACCTTTCAGAGATTCAGAGACTGCTATACCTGAACCGGGTGTCATCACCATTAGCGTGCAGTTAGATGTTAAAGCTGTGAGCTTCTCAACTGATATTTGGACCTCAGCTGTGACTCCAGTGTCTCTCATAAGTCTCACTGTACACTGGGTGAACTCGGACGACAGTGCGGTTTGTCAGGTGAAAAAGTGCAGGGGTCACACACCAGCAGTTCAGCTGCAGCCTCCATTACAGCTATGCTTAGTGACTGGAAGATCCAACACCTTAAACACAATAAAAATTATAATATTAAAGTAAAAAGAGCTCTCGTATTGGAATCTGTATCAGTGTCGGCAGTGTATCGGAATTGGATCGAAACTGAAAAAATGTGGATCGGCCCATCACTAGTAGGAACACTGTGGAATAGATTGCAGCCTTGAACTCACTCTTTTTACAGCACTTATTAATATATTATTTTTTTTTCAATGTCCCATTGCCTCTCAGATGCAGTGCCGTGGTCCGTTGCTCTGCGGGACAGTGAAGTTTTAAGGGCTCTTGGTGTGGATTTGGCCCTCTTGGCCCTTTTCAGTGTCCAGCACAGCCTGTTGGCCTGGGCTCCGGTTAAGAAAGCCTGCCAGTCTGCTCTGGGGGTCCTAAACCGGGCGATGTACTGCTCCACCACAGCCCTCGCACTGCAGGTAATGCAAACACAATGCAAACACAACTGAAATGCTCTGTGTTTTACTTTCAGCCTGTATGTTTCCTAGTGTTGTTTTTTTTTCACACAATACTACGCTCAAATCTACACTCAAAAAAATGAGTGAATGCCAAAATTTAATGGTTTTTTCACTGCTGGTTTTGTTCTGGTCAGAGTCCAGGTCTAAACTTTGTAGTGAATATTTGGTCTCACATTAAGCACAAACTAGCAGCTCAGTGTTTTTCTGTCTAAAAGACTCTGCAGGTTCGCACACAAAACTTCAACATTTAAAGAAGCCAAAGGAAAAGCTCTCTACACTGACTTCCTTTATTTATTTGGGAGTGTACACTAAAAAAACTTTGTTTCTACACTCTTAGTAGTACCTAAAGGGTTCTTTGGCTTGTAACTATAGCAGAACCTTTTTTGGTGCCATATAGAAGTCTTTTCAAAAAACATATACAGCACATTCTCCATCAATCTGAAGAACCTAATATTTTAAGATTATTTAATGTATTTTAAGACATTTTCATACTTGTTGATTCATTTTATATAAGTGTAATTTTCTCATTGCAATGGCAATGCAAGAGAATTTCACTGAGATTTTACAGTATCAGAATGAGAAATATTAGCTATTTAGACTCATTTTACTTAATATTCTTTTGCAGCATCTGTTCATATCTTGATGGTTTTCACCATTTTCAAACTTCTGTACCTGTTTAGAACATAATTTCTCACAGTTTCTTTAATTCAAAGCTCTTGACGGTTCTGCTGTAGGTGCTGATGCGTTGGTGGCAGCCGGTGACCAGCGCCCCTTGCCTGTGGTCAGTGCGCAGTGCACCCTGGGATATCTGGTTCCCCCTCATCTGCTTCGTAGTTCACTTCCTGTGCTGGGCCATAATCTGCAGCATCCTGCTGATATTCGACTATCCAGAGCTGCTGGGACTCAAGCAGGTACAAACACACACGCACACTAATGTGGACTGACTGTCTATCAATCAGATTCACTCAAAATTTTATCACAATAATGACCAAACCCTTTATCAAGCTTTCTCGCTGTTATCACAGTGTTACCTTAAGGTAAAAAAAAAGCATGTGTAAGATAAAACTTTTAGAGCTGCAACAAATATTGTTTTGTTTTTTCACATAATTTCATAATTTGTAAACAACAGCTGCTGTTTACATTTCACAATAATTAGACCACAGTTAGTCTGAAATGACTTCTTATTACAAAAATTGTTTTACAATAAATTCCATTATAAGTTAAAAATGTTTTAGAAGGTTTTGTTCAGACAGTAATGATATGATAATATTCAGTAAATTTGGTAGTTAGAATATCTCTATGAAAGTAATTATCACTGGTCTTTTTTATGAGCCTATGCTATTTCAGTGATTTTTTTTATCGAAATACAGATAAGCAGATGTTATGCAACATAATAATAATAATAATAATAATAATTAGAACTAGTAATTGCAACGTGTTATCATTATTATTATTATTATTATTATTATTAATAATAATAATAAGAATAGTAGTAATAATAATAATAATAATAAAGCTAGTTAGATTTTTTTTCTATTCAGTTATTAACATGAAACTTGTCTTGAGCTTTTCTTATTTTTGTAGAGTATGTGAATATTTGAGATAATATACAGTAGGATATTCAAAAGTGAAAGCAGAAACTAATCAGTAGCTCTAAACTCATGTACATAATGTATGGTACAAGTGGTCAGCATTTTAGACTGAGTATGAACCTGTAGGACTGTGGCTGTCACCGTGAGCTGTGAAGCAGACTAAAACAGCTGTATAGACATCAAATAAAGCATGAGATCTGTGACAGTGCAGTGAAAGCAGAGCTGCTCTGGGTTTCTAAAACTGTCTGAAACTGCAGCTGGTTTGACCAAAACTCATTGAAGGTATTTCAGTGTCCACAACAATATTGTGTGTTGAATATGTGTCTCTTATTATTGAGTATGAGCTCATGTCTAATAGAGACCCACACCACACAGTCATATGTCAGTAACTAAATAGAAAAAATATCACCTTAATATTGTTTTTTTTGCTGTCGTGCAAAAACCTTGAATCTCCATTTTTGTTGTTATATTTTTTTTTGTCATTCTTTGCATTGTATCAAAATTTTATGAGGAACAGACCAAAAAACACTCCAAAATTACCAAGAAAATAACTGTGTTACATTAACTTTCATTACAAGTTAATGTTTTTTACTTCTCCTGTAAAATTCCCATTTTGGAGATATGAGTTTTACGTTTAGACAGCAATAATATGGCTAATGTGTAATTCCATTTTATTTAAATGGAGCTATCGCAGCCTTTTATGTATGAATAGCCTGTTAGACTGTTTTTGATTGGTCATTTAGAAGCTGGAGAGAGAGTGAGATTCTGTAACCGAGGAAGGCTGAATTATTGAATACTCTCTCTTTCTTTCTCTCAGGTATATTATGAATGTCTGGGGCTCGGTGACCCGCTCTCTCTGAAGTCCCCCCGTGCTCAGCGTCTTTATGCCCACCTGCGTCACCCGGTGTGTGTGGAGCTGCTGCTGGTGCTCTGGCTGCTGCCCACGCTGCCGCTGGACAGGTGTGTTCTGGCTGCATACCTGTCATTCTACCTGGCTCTGGCACACTCTCTGGACGCTCAGGACTGCGCCTACCTCAGCACGCAGCTCCACAGCAAGCTGCAGCTCTTCTCCACTCCACAGGGGGGCGCCGATCAAGTCAACAGCAACAACACCGAGCAAAAGCAGGACTGAACTCAGCTGACCTTCCAAACGTCTTACCAACTGAGCGGAACAAAACCCAGTTCTGCTTTTTCTCTGGGTTTTGCCTGCATATTTTTACTTCTATTTTCATTTTTTAAAAGTATGTTGTGATTCTTATTAGTCACACTAAACTCCCATCAGAAGTATTTGGTTTATTTTTAACTGTTGGTCTCATTAAGAGAAGCAGAAGTATTTCTGCTCTTCTGAGTGTGGAATAGAGATCAAACGTCAACTGCACAGATGAAAGGTCATGAGGTCTAACTCACCAATAACTAATAAAAAATGAACTACAAGCATCACAGACAGTATTACTAGAGTCACAAGATGCATTTTACTGTACTCAGTTGCAGTCCTGCTGCTGGTTTTAATGTTTTCTCGTCTCTAACACGTCAGCTTATCTCGAAGAGCTACAGTCATATGCAAAAGTATGTGCGCCCCTGGTCAAAATGCATGATTATTGTTGATTTTTCAAGTGAAAATAAGTTACATTAAAATCAGCTAATAAAAGAAAACAAGCACTAAAATGAGCAGAAAATTACATATTAAGTTCCCTGTAGAGAATGTGTTAGCTTGTTTTCACTTAAAAAACAAAAACATCTCATTTTACCAGGGGTGTCTAAACATTTGCATATGACCGTGTGTTAGGTACATTAGAGACAGAAAGCACAAAATAAGTAGATCATGTGTTCTCCACAACTGAAACTGAGAACCAGTAATATATTTTTGGTAACGCTTTCCTAAAGGGCAGCTTTCATAAGGCTACGTAAGCCTTTCATGGCAACTGCCATAAACACACATAAACAACTGTGAAGGCTTATTCTAACAAGCATCTGTTGTTATAAAAGCTGCTTTTGTCAATTTTGCTGTTATTTTCCCCAGAGTTGATCCCTATTGGAGCTGGTTTAGTTTTATATTGGGAGGTTCTGTAATTTGAGTGATTTAATCTAGTATGAATTTGCAGTGTCTGTAGTTTGCCAAGTAACTTTTCCTCAGTGAATTATCTCCTGTAATTGGCCGAACTCCCTCAGTAATAGTAGTCCTGTAAGAATTGACATCACAGCAATGTAATAACAAAACTGGGTGATAAAAATGCTGTCTCCATTTGACCCAATTCATTAATCCTCAAATTCGTGACTAGAATACTGAAATTTGCAACATTATTGGTGATGGCCTGAAGAGTCCAAACCCGTCACAAAACCAGGGAGCAGCCATACGTCTTGAGAACTGAAGTCTATTTCATGTGTGCAGGTGCCAGACACCTAGCCAGCCTGTAAAACAGTGGACTGACACAGTTTTATAGGTTGGACTGATGCCAAGATTATGCCCAGCCCATGCATGACAAGTGACAGGTGTAATGTAGGGATAAACAAAAATAAGCAGAACAGAATGTTCTAAATACAATCACAGCACATACACGCACAATGCTGAATATAATAATACATAATACTAAACTAAACGCATTACACAGCAGTAGATTCCCTCAGGCCGAATTACAAGCAGAAGAAAAAATTAAATATCTCCAAAGCGTCTCTCACAAGGCAGTGCATTTCTGAGATGTTGGGCTGCATTTGGAAAAATGAATGAACCCACTTTACTAGTCTAATGGTCGTCCATTTAGTCGCACAACATGTTGCTATTGTTTGGAATTGTGGCGCCTGTCACATAATGCTGACATAAACGTCCGCATGATGATGTTTCGATCGGGGCTTTTTGCGGTAATTTGGAGAAATTACACAGCTGCTTTATCCCAAACAAATCAGCCAGTCAAATTAAACACAACCCCCATTACCAGACCTGCTTTTAAACTAAAGCAGCTCCTGTAGAGCTCAAGTGTTATAACAATTGTTGGAATAAGCTTTTATACCGGCCTATATAGGTTTATGTCAGTTGTCGTGAAAGGCTTATGTAGGTGTTATGTAGCCTGATGAATGCTTCAGTAAAGTGCTAAATTTTTTTTCTCTGCTTGTTGTTAGGCTGTAAAGGCCACCTACATTTATAACACAGGCTTACATACTGAATAAAGTTATATAGCACAATGCAATATTAATGATATAATAATAATAATGTAATTATATTAACCTAATAGTTAAGAAATGGTAACTTGAGTATTTATGAACAGCTTATAAAACAAAAAAGAAATGACATTATAAAGCATTATTCCCAAGTAATGGAGCTTATAAGGCTGAAGCGTAGTTTAAACACCATATCAGATCTACATATTTCTGCTTAAATACAAAATAACAATTTCTGTAACTGATTTTATCCTTGCAGCCACACGGGTCTAATTGTTCACTGAAATAATAATACAGTAACTGTAATAACTCCATTACTTAGAAATGATGCTTTGTAACAGTGTTATAAATGGAGTAAATATGTCACTTTAGTTCAATGTCAGTACAATTTCATTGATCTCTTAAAATTTATTTCATCTTGGGAAGACTGACAAACTGTTCATAAATATTCAATTATTGCTTTATGAATATGCTATTAAATCCTTATTCATGTATTATAAAGTCACTTCAAATAAAGTGTTACCGTATTTTGTGCCTTTATGCAGTTTCCAAGCTGCTTTTTAAGATAACATTAAGGTTTTAAGATCACATTAAGATCAGTGTTATTGGTATTGCTATTGGTTGGTGTTTTTTATACATGAGTTCTTTCTTAAAATAATGTAGCATCATTCAAATACAGCAAAAACGTGCTTTTATCGTGTGATAATTCAGAGATTTACTCAGCAGTATATCCATACTGAGTGTTAGTTTGCTGTGGGCTGCACAGGTTTTCAGAAGAGGGGTGCAAAGGTGTATTCAGAGTTAAAGGTAATAACTAGTGATGGTGTACATATGGACACAGGGCCACTTAAGTTGCTTGACTCCTTACGTTTTATATACTTTGCAGTATTTTTCATAAAACGAAGAAAAAAAATACTACAATAATTTGTATAAACCAGGGATGGACAATGTGACAATAATTAGCATTACTGTGATAAATTATATCACAATATGTCACAATATGCTTTTCTAAGCATATTGTAGATATTGTCAGTAAGTTTGATAACAAAAATGCATAATGGTCCTGTTTAATTCAATTTTGTGGGTGCAATTCATTCTTCTCAGTTTTGAAAGTATTTTCTGAATTTGGCTTTTTTTTTAACTTGCCAGATGTAAGAAAAATCATATTGTGACAGAAAGTGTATCGTGAAATTTTCCTGAGGTATCATGATACTATGTTTTTGCCATATTGCCCAGGTCTAGTACAAAGTAAGGCATTTACAGGGGTAAAAATAAGCACTGTCTTCACTGCCACTGTGTTTGTGCTTATTGGAGTAGGAACTGCTTTATATTCTTCATATCTATGTAGTATGACTACTGTTCTGCTGAAAAGTGATATTTTTGATGTGATTGATGCCAGAGAAGTTTTGTACCTAAAAATCCAACACAGTATGTTTAAAAACATCAGTTTTAACTAATTCTAAAACAGCCAGTTCAGAATGTAAAGAGGACATTAGCAAAGTTGAAATGCAGTGCCCTCGCTTGAGCTCTTTTCTATCCATGGAATTTTCTTTATTATTCATAAATATTTAAAGAACAAAGGATTTTGATATATATGGGGTTGAATTGTTGATGATTCTGGTTGTCTTGAATGTATATTTTACATTTACATGCACTGAAAATGTGATGCATTGAGGCTGCTTGATTGAGATGTGTGTATAATTTACACACAAATAAGCTATAATACATCAACACAATTTTGGTTTAAATTTGGCAATAGCTGTATAGATGTGACACATTGTCATATGGAAAAAATTTAACACATCTATTCAAGTGAGATGTTTTGTTGATTTTCTAAACAAAAAGTAATACATCCTCTACAAAAAGCTTAAATCTGAAAAAAAAATTTTGCACATTTTAGTGCACTTTTTATATATTTGATGAGTTCAGCTTAGTGGAAAACATAAAATACAAATTGTGCCATAACTTTTGCACAGGCCACATTATATTTTTTCTCCAGTATGTCAAATTCAGCAAATAAACAGTAACTGTGTATTACAATGTGCAGAAGTGTTTTTTTGTAGTGGATGTGTTAACTTATTTACACTTAGAAAAACAACAACATGGAATTTGACCGTGTCTGGGGTGTCTAAACTTTTGCATTGACTATGTTATTAAGGAGGAAATTATATATACATTTGAATCATGTGAATTCAACATATCACTTTCTTCACTGTGGAATTTATCCTTTTAATAATGTTTACATAATCATGTCAGGCAGTTCGGTGCATGCTTTTCTTTTTTTGAAATAAAAACATTTGGCTGCACAAAAATAAGTGTCATTGGTTATCCTGTAATGACCATTCCGTGTGGGTGCATGGGGATTGGTGTCTGGAAGTGAAGCATGATAAAGAATGAAAGGAGCCACCAGTTTAATGAGCTGCATGTCCAACAGCTCTGACCTGCTCTCTGTGCAGTATTAGTGTTGGTGAGTGCTCTAAAGGGAGGTGAGGGCCATGCTGTCTGTAGTAGAAGTTTGTGGGATTCTTTAAACAGTGGCAAGCAAAGAGCAGTTTTAAGGTGTGCTTCTGCATCCAAGTGAGCCTGGGACTTACAACCTTGCCTTCTCCTAACTCTGAACCCCCCATGGAGAAGGAGAGATAACAGAAGACTGGCAGACGGGCTTATTTTAAGGCATTTTCTTTGGGTGAGCAGTCTGCTGTGTGCCACTAACTCCCCTGAAGCACTTTAATGGGATTATAGGATTACAGGCGTGCGCCACTGAGGCCAGGAATATTTACTACCAGCGGAGGTGCTCTCGGTACGCACTCGGATTCAGCACAAGATCATACTCAAGGAACGGATTAATAACCATAATCATCAGTCCATAGGTTTTTGTGACTGTGCCTTGGCTCTTGGTCTTTTCTACTTTGGCACACTGATCTTCTGCAGCATCACTTTTGGAGCTCTTCAGCAGATCTTCTAGCAGACAGCACAGAAGAGACAGCACTACATGGGAAACATGAAGTTCTGTGGTTTGTCTTTTTTATGATAAAGGTATGCTTTTTAAACATATTTATTGGTGACCATTTTCAACATAACAAAACTCCAAACTTTTTTTGCATGTGAGATGTATTTTTTTATTTGTTTCTCTGGACAGCAGACAGCCTATAATCAGTCACAACCTAGAAGTGCTAGTTAAAATCATCATTCCTAGACCACAGTCTTTCGCCCAAGACAATCTCATGCTCTGATTCTATGGTATTTTAAGTATAAAGAAATATATAACTGAAAATTTTACTATTTGGAACCTGACTGATTCAATTCCCTGAAGGGCACTATCATATCAGTGTTTTCATGACCTCTGTCGCTCAACAAAGGCAGAAATTATTCTAACCTGCTTCGCTGAATCTTTCTGTGGGACATTTTATGGCGACTATGAAGCCTTTGGCTGAAGCTGCAGCTTGGAGCAGAATTGAAATCCTCACATATTAGCTTATTCATTAAATTCCAAACATGCAGGACCAGTAACACAATTAACTTTCTCCAAATTAAACTCCTTCAAATCCTACCACTGTATATGCAGAGCTTAATTCAGAAACAGAAAAATAAAATAGCCATGAAAATCAACATTTCAATTTTGAGCATTAGTCATTATAAATAAGTCAAAAGACCACGGTTGTTTTTAGTATGAAACGTGCCTGTAAATATTGGCCTGACACAAACTGGGAAACTAAAAGCTCTGTTGTGTACTCACTCTTTGATGTGTTTACTTTTGACAGGGCTAACAGCAACTTTAGTGAAAGAAATTCACCCATTCATCCATCCATCAGCTATGTCGGTCTCTGTACTGCCAGAATGGAAACAGCTCCTCCTGGAGCGGAAGAGGAGGGAGGAGGAAGAGAGAGAGAGGAGAGAAAGAGAAGAGGAGGAGAGGTTGGCCAGCATGCCTGCCTGGAAACGAGGGATCATCCAACGCAGGAGGGCCAAACAGGAGGGTGGAGGAGAGCGGAGAGAGAGCGAGAGAGAGGGAGGCCAGCACAGTTGCCTAGATAGAAACTCTGATGGTCACTGTGATGATCGGCTGATGCTCAGACAGACAGACACTGAGAATGAGACCGCAACCAAAACACATAACCAGGTATCCGTAGAAACTATCGGCCCCATCCGACAGAACCCCTTCATCCGCTCCCAGAACAGCTACAGGAGAGACAATCGGAGGAGAGAGACAGAGAGAGAGAACCATGGAAGAGAGAAAGAGAGGGAGAGTATATATGACAAGACAGGTGGAGATGAAAACACAGGAGAGAAGGATAAAGACGTTGAAGAAGAAGAGAACCAAGGCCAAGAAAGGGACTTCTGGAGAGGGAAAGATAGAGAGATGAGAATGGAGAGAACCAGGGACAGAAGTGAAGGAAGAGAAAGAGTTGGGAGAGAAGTCTTGAAGGACAGAGAGAAGGATGCGGTGAGAGGAAGGAGGGAAGGAGAAAGAGATGGCGCCTGCCTTCCTCACGTCCCCGGCCTTCGCACCATCAAAGCAGAAAACATCATCATTATTGAGAAAGACGGCAAGACCAGTGAAAGAGATGCACAGAAGGAGAAGGCAGAGAGAGATAGAGAACGAGCATCTGAGGAAGAAGAGAAGAAAGGCATGAGGATGGATCTGAGAGAGTTTCTGGCCAGTGGGGGGAATGTGACAGAGATTCGGGCTTCAGAGGTACTGATCATCAAACCATCCATCATGGAAGAAAAAAGTGGAGAAGGGAGGAAGGGTGAAGGAGAGCGAGGGAACGAGAGGAAGAGCAGTAAGGAGAATGTAATGAGTGAGAAAGAGAAAACAAAGGAGGGAGGTATAGGAAAAGAGAAAGGAAGAGATCAGGATGGAGTGATGAAGGAAGCCGAAGCTTGGCCCGGGAGCTCAACGGATCTGCATAAAGACTCATGCAAACAAGAGGACAGCAGCCTTGGAAGTGGGAGGGTCAGTCAGATCCTCAGCAAATTTGGCCAACATCCAAAACCTCCCTGCAGGTCCAAAAGCACTGATTGCTTCACCAAGCCAGGCAAGGAGAGCTCCAAAGCTAGGCTCAGCTGTGGGACAGAGGAAGAGAAAAAAGAGGAAACAGAAACCATGGGATTCAGGGGAGTACCCAAACGCTCATTCAGTTTCTCTGAACGGGTGGTATGTGTATGTGAAGAGAGGAAGGTGGTGGAAAGGACATACTCTGACCGCCGACTTCCACCACCAGTGGTGATCAAGAATGAGCAATCTCAGAGTGTTGATATAGGCATCAGGAGACAAGGAAGAGCCATAAATGAGCAACATATTGTGATGCAGAGGAAGAGAGAGATTGAAGGTGAGATGGAGGAGAAAAGACCACGAGAGAGAGAAGAGGGGAAGGAAAAAGAAAGGAAGGAACAAGGAAGCATGGAAGCAAATGGAGGAGAAGTCTTCAGCGTGGCATCAGTCAGAAATCCAGAGGGCATTGCATTTGCGAGACGGATCCCGATCAGACAGGACAAGAGAGAGTTGAAGAGATTTAAGGAGGAGAATAAGAGAGAGAGAACAATGGAGAGAGAAAGAATAAGGGAACAAGAAACAGAAAGAGAAAAAGAGATGGAAACAGAGAGACAGAAGATGCGGAACGAGGTAACTGAGAAAGGAATGCAAACAGAATTTCACGTTGAGAAAAAATCTGAATCCGTAACACTTAGGAGAGACAGAGAGGAAGTAACAGTAGTAATGGAGTCTGTGAAGTCACTCTGTTCATACACCCTCGATTGTCATGACTGGTCAAATTCTCACGCTGTCTCAGATCATAAAGCTGTCAGCCAGTACCCAGCAATCTCCAGTGTTACTAAGTCCCTGCCAGGCACCATAATGAAAGGAGAAGATGCTACCACAGATTTCTACAAGCATGACAACCAGCCAGAACAAGCTGTACTGCTGCAACACACAGAGGAGCTACTGGGTAAGACTCGGAGAATGCAGGATGCAAGGGATAACAGTCATATGGAACCAAGGAGAGAGAGTGATGTTACTGGAAGCAAAGAGAAAGAGTGTGAGAAGAGTGCAATTTGGCACGAACAAGAAGAAAACAGGGAAATGGCTAACACACACATTCATCATCCAGCTTCGTTGAAGAGGGCCGCTGAAGTTGAAACTTCAGCTATGAAGTCTCCTAAACACACTTCTCGGGTGGCTGGGGTTGGCCAGCAGGAGATCCGTATCCCCAGATCCGTATTTTTTGGGGTTGATGAGCTGGTAGAGGGATGTAAGCCAGGCCCCTCAATAGAAGATGGACAGATTGGAGGAGGGGATAAAGGAAAAGGTGTGGAGAGGAGGGAGAGCTGGAAGGCTGGAAGACCCCTAACCAGAGTGGAGTCCCTGAGAGAAAGGATCCGTCAGAGAGAGATGGAGAGGCAAAGGAGAGGAGAGGCAGAGGGGGAGGGAGAAAGAGAGACAGGCAGGAGTGAGGGAGAGGGAATGGAGAGAGGAGAGATGAGGAGGGAAGCAGAAGGCGCTCTGAGAGCAGTGATGGTTAACAGACAGGAAGTAGCCTCACCGCAGACTCTCAGCTTGTTTGACGTCACAAAGGAAGCAAGTGTGTCAAAAGCCAGCCCCCAACTTCCTGCTTCTGTTCCTCTCTCACTGTCACAATCTCTCTCAGCTGGACGAGAAGCTCCAAAACTCTCCGGCAACAGCCAGTGTTTTTCGGAGCAAAATGAGGAGGATTTCGGCAGTCAGCGGGACCCTGACAGCTTGTCAGTAGCACCACCGGAAGAAGGAGAAACAGAGGAGGATCTATTGGAGGAAGAGTACATTTGCCCTTCCAATTCTCCATCTCCACCCAACTCTCTTTCCCCAACTCCCTCACCGCCTCTGCCCCACTCTCTGGCTGCCATGAGTCGGATCTATAACCTGAAGACTGTGGGCTCCAGAACCGCAGTGTGCATCAGCG